TGTGTGAGTCAAAAACTATCCATGATGCCATCAAGAATGGACGTTCTTGCCAAGGAGAAGTGATAACATGTATAGTCTGCGTGCAGCCACGATTGTCGCCTCATGGATTGTGCAGCGGCACGATGTCAAATGTTTAAATGTTGGGTGCAAATAGCGGCACAGCTGCAGTCGCCGGTGTCTGTTGGTTCCCTGGTGTGATGAGACAAATATGCGTCCCTGCCGTGGAATGATGTCATGGAACACGGTCAGTAGTTGCCTTCCCTGGAAACGAGCGCAATGATCACTTATAACCCCCCCCGTGTCCCCAAAAAAACATAAAAAGTCTAATTTAAGCCGGACATCTTCTGCAGCCCCCTTTCTAGTAAGCAGTAAGATAATCCTGACGCAGGGGCATGAAAGACGTGGAACCGGTGCCAGCGGGGCTTGATTACAGTAACGTGAACGCTCAGTAGCAGCTGGAGCTTCTCAGCAGCTCTGCACCGGCTGACACGCCCCCCCCCCCCCCCCCTCGTCCACCCCCCTCTGTAATTCAATACAAATACACTCCATCAGCCTTCGAAGGGAAACACTGTGGAGCCCAAAGAGAGTATCAATTACCTAATCCATGATTTAAAAACATAAGCAATTACATTTTCAAATGGATGAATCTCGTTTCTATTCCCACTACTCTTCTGATGTGAAATATTCGTGCAGATTTCATTAGTTAATGGAGAAAAGGAGCATTGTGAAGGAGATAAACTGAAAAAATGCATGAGAAATACATTTAGTCTCACCTTTAATTTGTTAACGTGAGACACTTATCTCAGCTTCATAAATACTAGTGGAGATTACACACATGAATTCATTGAATCCCTTGACTACATCAACGGAAACGTTTTTATCTCAAATGCAGAATATCACAGAGTTGCACCGCGATGATCTCAAAGAAATAGTTTCCTTCTTGCGCATCCACTTTCTGGCCAAGAGATGGACGAAAGCGTTGCCTCTCATGTCTGCGCGCTACTTATAGCACGTGCTTAGCTCAGCATAAAGACTAGCAGAGATGGGAAACCGCCCGCCCGGCTTTGACCAAAGTATAAGGGAATAAAGCTTCAAACAAATGACAAAGTGTAAACACATTAATAACATCAATGCCCTAATGCTAAGCTAAGCTAACCCGTAGGACCACTGAAACACAAGCTGTGAGATTTCACACACAGCCCCCTTCGTGTGAACGCCGGGCCGCTCGGGTCGGATGTTGCTCAGGGACAGGATGGATGCGGACAACCGACCACGGTGGAGACCGTGACCACAGTTGCACAGTCATCAGGACTGGAAGCCGTGATTTACGGCCCCACAGAGTGACACGAGGCGGCCGACGCCCTCCACGACCTCCGTCGGAGGAAATTGCAGCAGGCCGGGTGGATCATAAGTGGAAGTTCGTGTGGGCACGACTGTTTGGCACACGGGGGACAAATAACATCCAGTCGGGGTTTAGTCTGAAGCTTTAATATTTAAAATTGGAAAAAAACTGTCAAAATGTAGGAATAGATAGTTGATATATTATAAGTTATATTTTATGAGGTTGCAGCGAATATCTTCATCGATGGTTAATGCATCAATAGTTCTTTACTGGGGGAGAACACGTTGTCGTAAACAATGACTGTCAATGGTTAATACATGATTTTCTAAAAGCTTTAGAGATTTTGGTATAATTACTAACTTTATAAAATGCAAGATGTTTCAATACCACTAAAACTACAAGCGGCGCTTCCTGATTTAAGATGTATTCATAGGGAATAAATAATGTAGCATGACGGTTAAAGGAGCCATTTAAATGCTTTTAAAATACCATGAAAGATTGTCATATGAATTATACTATATTACGACATAATAATGTTCAAGTCGTGTCACGTTAAATATCCTAGCATGGCGTGGAATGTCACAGTGACAGGGGGGGCTGAAACCTCAGGAATAGTAATAGGAATAGTAAATGAGGGGTTTCACTCGTATAGTATAACGACTGAAGTCATAAAAGAGTGAAAACGCATGTGAAAAAGAACCTTTTAAACCGTAAGTGTATCGTAAATCTAAGAGAGCCACTAAAACGATCTCAAAAGAATTCACTGAAAGTCCTAATATAGCATATTGTAAAAAGTCACAGCACCGTTTGGCAAAAAAACTCCTAAAAATGAGAAAATTAAGTATCAATTTGATTATGTTTGTGAACTTGTTAAAGTAATACATGATTGGAATATAAGCTTGGCTGGTGTGAAATGTAGAAACGTGACTTATCACTTATGCAGAAAGCCTTTAGAGGAACTGCTGAAGCAACGTTCTCCTCATGGAGCATCGGCCCAACGGACAGATTACAGCACCGAGCTGCTACTCAATCCGCCCGTTGATGTTTTGACACGACTGATTAACTAAGAGTCCCCCGATTAAAGCAACGTGCAGGAGGAAGTGGGAGGGAGGGGGGGGGGGGGTTCCTTCCTTTTGACACAGTGTGTTTTTTGTGGGAACCGGGGGGGGGGGGGGGTCTCAGAGGATAGCCGTTGTCTTTCTCAGAAAAGTGAAGTCGTCTCACCCAAGAGACAGATGAGCAACGTGTTGGGGCCTTGTGGTTTATGGACAGAACGCAGTTCTCAGGCTCTTCACTCAGAAATAACCGACGGTTACGCCAGTTCACCGCGGCACACACGGCGTAACAGTCCAAACGTCAAACCGCCAACGCATCAGGCGAACCCGAAAGGGCCTCGCTGTGTTAAATGAGGCCCCCGAAAAGCGTTTCAGCCGCTTCAGTCTCTTCCCCTCGTTGTGTCGTAAATAACCAAACGTCTCCACGCACACGGCTTCTGTCCGCTCAAGAGGGGACGACGTCGTCTCGTATCAAATGAATGGAATACCTGAGTGGAGCAACACAACAAAATCCAGATGATTCCATGTAGGTCACCAGGGGTCAGTGAATGGGTTAATGAGCATGAACGTTTCATGATTAATATGAACACTAACGCAGTAACAGGTTAAGAATTAGCTGCAAAAAAGGGGGAAAAGCAACTAAAACCCAAAAGGCGATTGCAGCATTGGTCGTTCTTGCTTCACGTTTACATTGAACATGTCAGGATACATAAATATATTTGATCAGATTTCAAATTTAAATAAATAAAATGCTTGGGGGGGGCTTTCTCTTGTTAAGTCATAATTAATGACATCACCAATTATTTCATCTTCATTTGTGCCGCTCTCTTTTATCTGCTTGTCTTTTGTGCTGCATCTGCACCTCAATGGGGTCGGATGTGCACCTTCCACTTTCTGCACATTACGCGTGCCGACCAGCATCGACCAGCACAATGTATTGATGTCATACGGACATGAATAGCTTTGAAAATGAATGGAAATGAGATAATCACGACACAAAGGACCGCAGAGAGCAAAATAGATTTTATTCCTCCTCTTTGTGTCTTTCAGTTTTAATCTTTTAAACCATCTTGGTGTGAAGTGGAGGCTCGGTGCAATTTTTGTTATTGATCATAATGTTTGAAAGAGTTTTTTTATCTGCAGACGCGCCTCCAAACGGACATTTCTTTCAGGTTTTGAACAATTTATACACTGCAGAGGACAGGATGTTAGATTACTCCCCCCCCCTCCCCCCATCACCCTCCATTCTTCTGGATATGAGAGCAGTCGTCCCCGCCTGCAGCAGCCGATGGAGCTGCATGATGGAGAGCTTCTGCATGGAGGGTCACGCTGGGAGACCAGAGCAAGGTCACTGAGACGTCGACACGCTGACTAAAAGGCAGCTTTATTTCATTAAGCGCAGCATCATCTACAAACACATTTAAGCTGCATTTGCTTGTTTAAAAAAAAATAAAAAAAATAAAAAGGTGCAACATTAGCTACGAGGCAGCCCTCCCCCATCAAACCCCACCCAAGATTAAAGCGCTTTATTGCCTTCTTCCCTCCCTCTCCCTCGCGGCTCCTTCCTTTCCTCCGTCGGTGCAGCGGTGCTGCAGAGGACACACCCATCCACACTCTGCTGCCTCGCCGGCTTTGACCCTGAGAAGTTCTACAAAGCGTTGCTGAAAGTGCTGCAGTGCCCACCCAAGAGTAGCCCCCTTCTCCCTCTAAAGCGCTGCTGAAAGCCAGAGAGAAAAAAAAAAAAAAAAAAAAGCAGAAGGTTAGTGGAGCGGAAGAGAAGTGAAAGGATATCTCTGTTTTGTCTTACCGATGAGAGTAAAGAGGGAATAGAATAATAGATTGAGAAAAGCTCCTGTCGATGAAAGGCACAGGAGCACTTGTCATTGACCTCATGCAACGATGTTTTTAACAGGCCGAGAATATGAAATATAGAAGCACATTCAGGAAATATGCATCTAAGAACCATTAAAAGTGATTTCTTTTAATCTAAAAGAATCTTATTTTCTCTAACAATTTATCTTTCATAATACTTTTCGATCCTTTAAGTTGACTCATTACGGATTGATAGAATCGTGGCGGGTTTTGAAAATTACGCTTGGACAACTTCCTCCCGAGTGACAGATTGATGCTGCTTTCATGTTTCATGAGGTAAATCTTAATTTGGAGCCAGCGGCCGGTTAGCATAGCTTAGCACGACGTGAAATGAGGGCGAAGCGCTAGCGCTGCTCCACGAGGAGGTAAAAAAACATCATTATTGGAAAAAAAAAAAACACAAAACATGTCATTTTGGTTGCTAAATACACAACTGTGTTCACCAACTCGATGCTAAAGACGTCTCGCTGTCTTTCTTCTAAAAGCAGAAAGCGAGGAGCTTTGAGAAGATGCATACTGTCAAACTATTCCTGGAATATGGAGGTAATTTCAAAGAAACTAAACAGCCTGTGTGTGTCGTTGGGTTTATTTCATCAAGCTGTGAGATCTGAAACATCCTCCCTCACTCCTGCTTAGCGGTTGAGCGTGAGAAACCGGATTTTACAGCTTTTCTGAAAAGGAAAAAAAGAGCCAATGGCAGATGACAATAAGATCAAAGCTGACAAGACGGGTTGTAGAAAACAAGAGTTCTCGTTTTAATTTCTCCAGCATACATGACATACTGTCCATTTACAGTACATACTCCCAATTTTAATTTGATTTTGCACACATCACAGTTTAAAGTTTTCAAATGAAAAATACAACACAACTATGAAAAAATAGGACATATGCACAAATTAAAACCTATAAAAAATATAAAACCAGTACTCTTAAATCTCATTTTGACAGGTACCATTTCAAAAACAAAAACATGTAATGCACAATAAAGCAGACAAATTAAACTGAACCATTTGTTTTTGTTTAAATAGAAGGAAAAGACAATTTGTAATCATGCAGAGGATGTAATATTAAATAACGAATCAAACAAAAATAATATATACTTCTCTATATATCTCTCTTTTAAATTTTCAAGTCAAAGCACTCCCGTCCCTTATAGAGGGAAAAACAAGTGTGAGAACACCAGAGGATGCACAATGTTTCCATTAGCTGCCATTGTCGCATGGCCTATTATCGAAAACATTACAAACCGGCAACATCTTTTTGGCACAGAAAAAGACGTTCAGAATGGCAGTAGCATTTCGCATCATAAAAAGAGGGCGGAGCTATAGCTCTTTTTCCATCACAAACAAAAATAAAGCAACGAAAACAAAACATTCTGTGCACCGACATCAGTCAGGAGAGTGGCGTCCCCCCCAGCAGGGCGTGAGGCTAGCAGCTGTAGCAGCGCAGTCTACTGCAGCATGCTCTTGATAGTCTTGTTGGTTGATTCATCATTCAGATGCTTAGTTGTGTACCTGCAGGTGAGAAAACACGGCACCTCAGTTCAGTCGATTCAAAGTACACAAAGCGTGTAAAAAAAAATGTCTTATTTTTATTTTTTTAAAGTGCCGTGGCTGAATCTTCGGCTGATTCGAAGAACGCGGATGTGATGCGACAGACAGACTGATTTATTTATTTAATGTAAAATATGAATCTAAAAGTAAAAGGTAACTACAGCCTATTTCAATAAGTAAAAAGGTATAAAGTATTATAAAAACATAATTTATACTCTTTCAAGAACAATTTCTCCCCTCAGATCAGGGATGGAACCTGGAGACGTCTGCATAAGAGTGACATCATTTGGGAGACTAGAGGCTGATCGGGTGGGGGTGGGGGGAGGTGTCAGATGTAGTCGGCCTTTCTGGAGAGGCTGTTGACACCCAGCGCCGGGCCACAGCGGACTGAATCCCGGCTGGAACCGCGAGGACAATGAGTCACCGACGCCTCCCGGGGGAGGAGAACAACCCGAGAGGTCTGTGCTGCTAACGGGGAGGCTCCTTTTCAACGAGAGACACGAGTGTGGCTGCAATCGCAGCACGCAGTGTGTGTGTGTGTGTGTGTGTGTGTGAGGGGGGGGGACACAAATTAATTTAAGAATCGCTCACCTGAGAGCGTTGAGAAGGCCTTCGACGCTGTTCGGAGGCTGATCTTTGAGGACTTTGATGCAGCCTTTCATCTGCAGAGGAAGAAAGGCACGGTTGGCGTTATGTAGCAGGCCGGTCAATTCTGTATTTACCACCGCGTGTGTGTGTGTGTGCGTGTGTGTGTGTCAGGGAATCATTGTAAACTGAGAGGCACGTTCCCGCTAAGTCAATGTGCTGCAGAATCCCTCTTTGTCTATTCTAGGAGAGATGTTTGCCTTGAGGGTTCATCGTGGAGAAGGCACTGAGGTTATTGTCAAAGGGATGCAAGGAAAAATAACAGACTAAACAATTTGTTTACATCTTTAAGACCCTCCCTCTTCGGGAGTCATGAACAAATGCAAAGGAAATGTTAATGATTTGTGCATAAAACATTTTGTATCAAGCAAAGATTTGTGAATGAACACAACAGCCCAAAGTACAAAAGGGACTTACAATAAGCGACTTAAATAAGGGTTTATATGCAGGATCTGAATACGTCCAAACACGAGCGTACTCACGTCGATCTTGGACGACTTTGCAAATGCTCCTACGGGATGGACGTAGTCGTACAGGATGATGACGCCGACCATCACCCGCAGGCAGAAAGACACCGTCTCCTCGCTGGCGAAGCGGCTGCGGTACTCCCTGAAAGGAGGCGGAGCAGCGATTGAACACAAGAAGGAGAAGAACAGGAAGTGCGGCGGCTCTCGTTGATGCGGCGAGTCACTCACGGCGTTTCCAACATGACTTTACACACAGTCGCCATCGTGCTTAAGCAGTCAGTCGTGTTCTCGATGGGCAAGTTCTTGTTCTGCAAAGGGACGAAAAGGAAATGAGGGGATGTCTTCACGTGTGCGTCTCAAGTTTTCACCGCTTCCTTCCGTGAGTCTCACCTCGGAGACAAACTTCGTTGTGCCGTCACTCAGTGCTTTCAGCATGGGCGTGGCATCGGCGTAGAACAGGGATATCCTATTGGCCAGTTCATTGTTGACTTCGTTCTCGCCCTCCGCCTGAAAGATCCGTCCAAAAACAACGACATTACACTTATATTCTGCCTCTTTCTTGCATCTCCTCGAGTCAAAGGTCGGGAGCAGCAGCAGAACGTCAGAGGACTCCAAACACATTTAACTCCAAACACACGCCATTAAAACATCCATCCTCAAAAACTCATTCTCAACAAGAACAACAATCATCATGAACTCGATGAACCAAAAACCTTTGTGATTTCTGGCTTGTTCACAACAACTGTAAAAGTGTTTTGTTGAATGTTTGTGGTTTTTAGTTATTCTGGCAATCAACCGCTACCTACTTACTTAATATTCAGAGCTTTAATAAAAAAAAAGGTCTGAATATTAAGTAACCCTGATTTACAAAAGTGGAGATTTGCTTGATTTGAATGTCTGCCAACAGAGATTATATTATCACTCTTTACAGAAATACATTTCCTACAATAAAAAGATGAGTGACATCTGAAAGCCTTTTTTTTTTTTAAAGCTGGTTCTTTGAAATGAAGATTGTGTTTTTAAAACACACAATGGGCTATTCTTCTCAACCAGGTCTGAAACACAAACAAATATCTCCAATAGACGGCACATTAAACAAATTGAATTAAAATCAAATCATAACGGAGAAACACTGACATAAAGTACATGAGCGAGCCCTGCTGCTCCTCCCGTTTGTTCCCAGCTGACTAACACAATCTGCTGCTTTCCAGTCTCAGACAGACATTAAAACACCTGGTGGCTCACAAAGAACAAGGTGTCTCTTGAACAAGCTGCTCTAAATGTGTCTGCATATTTAAATAAGATCATTTCCTGCTTTTTTTTCCCTCCCCTCGCCACGAGAACACTGAGCATATGAATAATCTTCCCCCAAATTTCAAACCAATTCATGTTTCAACAAATGATGACACGCGAGCTCACACAGAGCGCGTTACCGCGGGGACGGACGCGTTTCATCTCAGACGTCTGAATGATTGCGCCGCCTGAGCGTTGACTAAAACGCAGCCCGAGCTCCTCTTGAGCAGTGACAGGTCCTGACGACAGCTTGTCTGGGCCCGTTTGCCTGACGGCACAGTCTGGTTTGCATAATAGAACCCCATCAGAAGGTCAGAACGGAGAGCAGCTGCTTCTGCAGAGAGAGAAACTCTGCGATCTCGCCGTTTCCTGCATTGGAGCAGCTCTCGAATGCCCCTGAAAGCTGCTGATCAAAGAGGCGGATCTGCGTGAGCAGAGGGAACGTGTCCTTGAATTTCATATGAAAGCTATTATCGGTAATAAACACAGGGGACATCCGACCCTTAAATAGCGTGATGGCACTTAAAAACACAAACAATACCCCAGCGGAGGGGACGCGGGCAGGTCTCTAATCACCGACCGCCGTCAGTGCTTTTATTGTCTTGGGTGTCATCGTCTGCACAGACTCCACGTTGAAGTGGAGCCAGGCGCTTCACCTCTTGAGGGATCGGGCCTCGCTACCGATTCAGGATCTGCTCAGACTTTGCGTTTTGCGAGACGCTTCCTGCCACCCCCACCCCCCCACCTCCCCTCCTTCGGGGCTCTAACAGTCTGCAAACGCCATGCAACATCCCTGCGTTCTGCCCGAGCAGGAACCGTAATGAGAACTGATGGCTTTAAAATCAATATCAGGTCCCAGTGTAGACGAAGGCCAGGCCAGCGCCATGGAAACGTTCAGGAGGAATATGAAATTACAGACTGCTTGAGCCCTGAAATGAAGATTATTCTATTAAAAGAAGCCCATCACTCGTCTCTGCTGAATCTAATGATGGCTGACGTGTCTGCTACGTCTGTTCATCACATCCATCACAGCCTTGCTCCTCAGCAAACATACTGCACGTATGAGCACAGAGAGAAGTAAAAGCGATTAGAAGTTATAATTCGGTCAATTGTGACGTGCTCACCGGTACGTTGTTGATCCGCATCCGGCTCAGCGTTCTCCTGTAGTAGCTGAAGTCATTCTGAATGGCGGGATTCGTCATCTGGGGGCGGGATGCAATTATAGTTTTATTTGCTGAACTGGATTTGAATCCTCTGACACTCACCACCCCCCCCCCCTTTTACATCCCTGCTCATCCTGTCAGGAACAATTTGGTTATTTTGCTGATACAGTCGGGCGGTGCATCGAGGGTCAACTACGTCAACAAAAAGGTGTAATTGGACTCACTATGAACAAATGGAAGCGTGCGATCTTGCATCATTTGCAGTTACTGCCTCGGAGAACAAAAATATACACAATAAATTACTGGACTCAGTTAACGTCCTTCACGTGAATGACCTGGTTTCCCCGTGAAGCCAAACTGAACCTCGACCAGAAGCCGGCCAACCAGAGAGCTTCTTCACCAGCAGCGAGAGCTCATCATGTGGTTAATTATCCTCATTCCTGTACGAGCCCGTCACATTCAAAGCTGCACTGGCAGCAGGCTAATCCCGCTACAATAGACTGGTACTCTGTCTGTGTCCGCTGTGTGCACCAGGAGAGACAGGCTCCTCCATCAGGGAGGGGCCGCCCGCCGCAGACGCTTTAACTAGGTCAGAAGCCCGCGTACGCGTGTGAAAGATTGATGAATAGGTCTGGCATGCCACCTTGCACCCCCTACCTTCATGTTTTCATCTTGCCAGGCGGAGTAGTGGGCACTAATTGGGACGTTGAAGCAGATCGCCCGAAGGTATTGGTAGTGTTTTTATTCCTTTTTTGGGGGTGGGGGAGGGCGGTTTTTATCTAAAGGGCGAGGTTGCAAGGGAACCAGTTCACCCACTGTCCAACCACATGAGTCCTCACACAATCATGTTTTTGACAACGGGCAGTCGACCATCACTCAGGACAACAACTCTTTCCCGGCTATGAGCCTCGTTAGCCGTTTCACTGACAGCCACTGCATTAAACAGCAAAGTAGTATTGGGATTCTAATTAAATGCTAATCACGTGCTCGCTGGCTGCAGCTTAAAACTGCAGAGGAAAAATCAATTCGGGGGCATCAGCAGATTGTAGGCCGACTAAGAGGTCTGGCTTGTACCACAGGAGAAGAGTTCATACATGCATCTAAAAAGGGAAAGTGGCGTTTTGAGAGGGACGGTCGTACTTTTAGCTCATCAAAGCGCAGTGTGAAGTGCAGGATCTCCGCGAACTGCTTGGCCAGCGCCTGCTCCCGCTCCAGGTGCTGGGTGGAGTCGTGGTACGTCTCGCTGGTCAGAGCTCCCAGCAGGCTGTGCAGCGCCGCCTCTGTGGACGAGCCAGAGAGACAGATAGCGCCTCATCAATCATTTATAGCTGCACGACGACAAGTCTGGAACAACAAAATGTCATTAACTACCACAAACAACAACAACAACAACTTACAGGTCATGTAACGTTGATTGGTTCATTCGAAATACAACAGTTTAAATCAATAATGAAAATAAAAACATTGGTCAGCGCTGAGACTGAGGTCTGCTGTGCATCCCAATAACCGACCGGCAGAAGCATCACAAACACAGCAGAGTGGAGGATCCGCAGTTACACGTGTGACCAGCGGGCTGCGGCCCACAGCTGAAGCCGCCTGATTAGGATGAGACGGATAATGGGGCAGCGGTGGTGTCCAAACTGCCCAGGGCCAGTCTGGACGAGAGGGGGAGGGGGGAGGGCCAAGAGGCTTTTCCTGCTCAGATGCAGATGAGACATGGGACTAATTATCTCATTGGCATGAAATGAGGGGGAGGGGTGAACGAGATTTCACTCAAGCAGGATTATACTCATTGTTTTGACAATAAGTAAATACAAAGCCTGTGCGAGGCCTCGACATAACATACCAACAGCCCGATAACAGCCCGATAATAACGAGGAGAAGATTAAGGGAGAACTTCCACACAGGAAAAATTCTCATCCAAAATATGGCTTGCTTTAAATAAAAGTAAAGATAAAATAGAAAAGTTGGACAGCCCAGAGGGAATTTCTATTTATAGACTCAGACAGCGAATTCAGTCTAGACGACGTAGCAAGGCTTTCGATAATGACATAACCTGGACGATCCCCCCGTCTGAACGATTTAGTCCAAGTGTACAATTCTTGTTGATCACATACGACGACGAGCGCGTCAACAAAACCCGCTGAAGAGCCGAGTCAGTGGAGATACACTCACTCGAGATAAGGGGGAGGGGACTCGTGGGAGACGGACAGTTTGCCGCCGGTGCGCCGCAGTAAATTGCACGCGTTTGCCATCCGGTAACGACTCCCATCTGCTTGGGGCGGCGTTTTCAGCTGATTAAAAATAGCCTTAGTAGTGCAGTTTCTTTGCATTAACACCCCCTCCACCCTCTGCCCCTCTACATCGCTGTCAAAACACAAGTTAAGAAGGAGCTGCTCTCAGGCCTCTAAATGAGCCACTCTAGCATGTCGGGGAGTCGGTGGAGGGGCGGAGCTCAGGGAGACGTCTGATCTCCTCAGGTCACGGCAGAGCGCTCTACTCGCTGAGGGGGGGGGGGCGACCAGACTGACTGACTCAGATCTGTCTCAGTCAATAATAACAATCTTTATCTTCATCAATCAATTGATTGTTCCTGTCGATAATTCAAGAAATAGTACTTTTACACACACTTTTTTTTTTAACTAATTTGACTAATTTCAGCTTCTGACTGTGGGATTCTTAATGTCTGTTTCTCATTCTTGTAAATGTGTCCTGTGATATGCAAAGTGAGGCATCCACACTAAAAGGAAAAAGCTCTTCTTTGTGTTATGGTGCTGTAATGAGGAGGACACATGGGGGCACAGAGTGTAGATTGTTTTTAACTAAATTTACATCGTTCCATCAGTCTTATTCTTTGTGTCAGAGCAACAACAGGTAGTTGAAGCCAGAGAAATCAGTCTCTGCAACTCAAAACCAATGGCATGATCGTCCCTCCATCCTGAGTAGTGGGGCTCTGCAGCTCCACCAGCCTGCACCACAAGACTCAGCTTCACCCTCACGGCCCCCGAAGCCTGAAGTCAAGGCATCAAAATAGAGCAGTGGCCGAGAATGGGAGGTGGCCTACTTAGTTACATAACAGCCCTCCCCGGGCTCCCAGTGCTCCCATTGACTACCCTCCCCACCGCCACTGGGATTACGTCGCCGAGGGCGTCAAGGCATGGCGGGCTCCTACCCTCCTCCACCTCCCCCCCCCCACCTTCCTGAGCCTCAGGGTCATAAGAAGATCAGGGAGCAGTAAGCCTAGTCCCCCTCCAGCCCCCGCCCCCGAATCCATGCTAATTAAACAACCTATAGCCCCATCGTGCAGAGGTCAGTGCACAGTGCAGCGCAAGCAGCAAGCTGGGAAATGCACCACTGTGGGGGTATTCAAAGACTGTTTATACAAGGATGGGGTGCATTGTGTGTGTGTGTGTGTGTGTGTGTGTGTGTGTGTGCAGCTCACCAGTCAATATTGCAGATGCTAACAATTAGGGTCATGTATGGAGGTTGTGTCACCACATTTTTTTTACACATCTGCTTTCGTCCTTTGGCGTCTGGTACTTTGTGCTTCAAATGACACAAACTGCAGTAAAATTGTTGACAGCTCCAATTATTGCACATTTGGGTCTCGCGGCGCCGGTGTCACACACAACGTTGCTCCTGTTTGAGGAGCAACCCCCCCCCCCCCACAGGACACCTCAGCTTGTTCCACTTGAAAGTGTCCCGCATTACAAACGGTTTCTTTTGAGAAGCAGGAGAGAGAGAGCGGTACCTAATCTCTGGGAGAACTGAAAGAACTTCTTCAGTCTCCCCACCAGAGGAACTACAGCCGCCCACGCCTTCTCCTGCAGCGCCTCATCACTTGGACTCTGGATCGCCTGGAAATATAAAACACAGAAAAGAAAAATATTAAATACAAGTTTTAGAGAAGGAGCCACACAGAAGTCTGACAAAACACTACAAGATGAAAGATGGAAAAACCCTGAGGTGAACTACACAGCTAACTCGCAAACCAAATGGTCTGCAGAAGAGTTGCATCGTGGGTAATGTAGGTGCCAGTTATGACAAGCAATAACTATGACCATGGCTTTTTCCACTCTCCATCATGATTCTGATAAGTGGGGAGGGCTCTTTTGAGATGGAATAATGGAAACAAATGTTGACTGAACGGTTTAATAATCTGATTTAAAATCTCCCTTTGACCCAAGCGTCCTAACGCTGCAGCAGCTCTGTGTCCTGCCTCCCGTCCCCAGGTGGATTTGTGTATCGGGTGCACCTCTCTGATCTCCTGCCCGGCTCCTTTGTACGCCTGCAGCTCGTCCAGGATCCCCTTAGCGTCCTTCAGCACCACGTCGACCTGCTCCCACACTTCTCGCTCCGCGTCCGTGGGCCGAGCATCTGCAAAGGCCGGTGACAACAAGGTCAACGTGCTGCTAAATCCACATTCACACCGGGCTCAATGTTCAGCAAGTTTTAATTATGCAAATGAAAGTTCAGAGAAATAATCTTTCCAGCGTTTCCCGTTTAGTTTCGACGCCGCCCACTTTCCTGACTGAGGAGGGAAAATAAAGCGAGCTAAGAAGACGAATGAAAGGAAAAAAAGGGTTATGCTCTCACTGCACAACAACTTGGTGTAGAGACGGTTCACTTTCAGAGTTTTCTTTTTTTGGTTTGAGAGCAATGAGGAACGCGATGAACCTTTCCTATCACCTGAAGCAAGAACACCTTGCCAAGAGTGATGAATGTAAACTCCTGCCAACCTGCAGAAGTGTCTAAAACACAGCTCATATTGACAGCAGAATAGTCTTTTCACTTTTTATATTCTGCATTTTAATTGATCATTAATATTTAAATATCTATATACATCTAAATATAGATATACATGTGGCGTCAGCCTCCTGAGCCATGATTTCAGCCATTTGAAAAATGCATAAAACAATGCTGAGAATGTGGTAAACTAGGAGCAAATATTGAGTGTTATTCAGTGCTCATAAAATAAGCCTAACTTGTTGGATATATAATTGCAATGTACCTTTAATATATAATTACCTAGAAACCGCGTGAGCTGTTTGAGGAATTGTTTTCTCAAAAAAGGTACGACGGAGTCTCTGGGTTTGCCAAGTGTGAGAACACTTGGGTGCAGGATGAAGCCGTGTGGAGGGGCCTTAGGCGGTGCAGCAGCTGAACTTCAGTGCTTTATATATTTGAGGAGGGGGCTCTGCTGCAACTCTGCCCTGATTGATATTCTGCACACATTCCTACATGGAAGGGGCAGGTTGACGGAAAGCGCAAAAGCTCTTGTGGTAGACTTCATTCTCTTGCCGCTGGGAAGAACATAGTGTTGAAGATAAGTGGGGGTGGGGGAGACTCAAGTTTCAGAGCCGATAAGGGTATGGGAAGACATTCGTGTGATCGATATCAGGAGAGTTCAATTACATGAAAAAGACTCACTTTCAAAATCCAGGAAAAAATTGGGCTCCTGTTCCAGATCCGTGCAAGTCAAAACTTTCAGTAGGTTCCCCATGTTACGATACCTGCGGAGGACGAGAGAGGCGGACGGGTTAATGGAGGAATGCGGCGGGTGGAGAGACTCCACCTCGCGCCGGCTGTGCTTCACTGCTCTGGTGTCTGTGCGGACCCAGTGGTGCCCCAGATGTGCCCACAGACACCAGAGGTCCCCTTGGACCCCCACCCTCCCATGAGAGCTCCCTCGGCCGGGGCCGAACCAGATGTCACGAGAAAAGGTCCCCAAAAATAGAAGAAAAAAAAATTGAAATAAGTTTCTTCCCAGAAATTGTGAGCATTTCCAGGCAGTCGTATGTAAAGTAATCATTCCACAAGCCCTGCAGGGGAATCAAGCCGTTTATCGCCGCAGAGCAGGACCCATCTAACGGTTAAAAAAAAAGGAAGTTGCAGAAACGTGAAGAGGACCCGTTTGTAAGGTCTGTAGTTTGTTTGTGTGTTAGACCTTGTGTATTTAAAAAAAAAAAAAAAAACATCATCCTCTGCAGAAGCAAACTGTCTTCAGGAATTACACTGCATCGATATTCAATATGCCTGAGTGAAATAATGGGGTACAGCAGCACTTTATATATGGGAGTCTAAACAATATAGTATAATAAACATTTGCATTTTATTCCATGATTCTATTCCATTGCTCAGGAAAATTAATCTATTTCCACAATTTGTAATAAACTTAATGATTGAAAGAATGATTGAAATTGTTTATACTTGAATCATCTCAAAAATATTTGTACTAGAGACTGAAACCAGCCTCAGCTTCTTGTCGATTAATGCATTCAAGGGTTTTTAAAACACTGTTGATTATCAATAGATGGTCCAATAGCAGAGTTTACACGAAGAAAACAAAGCACTTTGCACCAGTCGGCACTGTGGTGGCTTTCCCGAATTTAACCTTCGGTGACGGAGCGGAGACAGGATGTGCTCCGAGAGGGCGGAAGGAGGGCGGAGGGCGAATAGAATAATGACCGAGGTTAAACTTTGGCGGGCAGATGGGATCCCCGATGAGTGACGGGGAGGCGGGGGGCCAAAGTGACAGACGAGCGGTGACAAGGTCAATCATGTGTACACAGGTAATACTGGGAGACAGGGAGGCGAGTACTCACTCGCCAGTCCCCAGCAGAGTGCTTTTAAAATGCAAGGCAGGTAGTCAATGGGCGCATTAATGGATGTTGGAGAGGGAAGCAACTCCTTCTACATGCGAATGCTTCCTCTCACAACACAACGTGATCCTGAAGAATCTAATTCAATATTTGGTCAGCAACATTAACAACAAGGCAATTATTAAAGAAAAAAAAAAATCTTCATACGTCCATCGTGGGTTTATGTTTATTTGCCCCGAAAGCCGCCGTGACTTCAGCCCCTCATCCGACCCAGAGACCACCTGCAAAGACCCACCTGCCTCGCCCCCCCCCCCCCCACTAACGTGACCTAAATGTCTGCCAGCGCCTCGCTGTCTGTCGGCGATCCGGCCTCAGAAGCGTTGGGAGCCGTCACTGGGCCCACCCTGCCGGGTGATGTGGGCACTGGCCATCCTCGCCAGCCCTCCCCCTCCCGGGCCTCTACCGGCCCCTTTCAGCCACTCGCAGGGCCGAGGGCGGCTGGCCTGGCAGAACTGCCCACCGCCGCTTAAGAAGGAGGTCATTTTGAGGACGGGGATTTGTTTGCCGCATTTCACAGAAAAGTTTGCAAGTCCTACTCTTCCAGTCAACAATCATTTCCAGATGGCCGAAAAACAAACGGCACCTAAAAGATGACAAAGTGTGTTGGCAACTGAGTAACTGGTTGCTAAGCGATAGCGTAGTAAGTGACCCCCCCTCAGTCAGTGCTGGCATGTCCAGGGCACCACAGAGATATCTACGACGACAGCCTTGTTTTTGTTTTGAACCCCCTAACCCCCCCCCCCCCCCCCCCCCACTGAGCCATCGCGTGCTCGCAGCGAGGGAGGGGGGGGGGCTGCTTCTAAGGCCAGGGGCAGAATCTGTCAAGCAGGAGCGCGCGCAGCTCTCCGATTGGCTAAGCTGATCTACCAGACAGCTCGCTGTATCCATGGAGCCCCAAAAAATTTTTGGTACCATTGAAAACATCGCAGCAGCCAATGAGCGGCGAGCTCGGGGTGAGGAGCGAGTACAGTCGTAGTAGGCATGAAAGTACATGCATATATTAATACGGCTGAGGTAATGCACCAAAAACAGCGGATTAGTCGGGGGGGGGCAAAGTCAACTGGAGACATATTAAATTCCACTACTAAGCACTGAGTGATTTAATGTGATTTGATTTTTTTTTCTGTTAAGCTCAGCAAATTACCATCATTAATATCATTATTTTAATAAAACTAAAGAAAATATACGATAATGATAAAATGATTACATTTTAACAACAGTGTTATATTATGATACATTGTGTCACTTTGCTTGAAATAAAAAAGGGGGGGATTTATAATATAAAAAATCTAATATTTGCAGACTGCAGCTGATGCAAAGAGGTTGAACCGTATCTTGGTGAAGACACCAAAACAGTGCCACGCCCATGCAGCAGCCTGACCTGCGGACGGCCCGGCCTTCAGACGTCTCCCTGCCGGCCCTTTGATAAGCACGCACACGCAGAGGCACCGCCCCGCCGAAACAGAGCGCTGCGCCATCAGTCCTGTAAGAGAGAAATGATAAAAGAGCGGCCCGAGGGGCTGATGGCTCACTGATGCGGGCGAGGGATAGTGCTGACATTCCACTACGCGGCTGCAGCATGAGGATCCACGTGCCCTGCTGCTTTACTACGGGAGAAAAACAACGCCCTCCCCTTCCCCACCCCCGACGGGGCTCAGACGCAGCGCGTCACGCGGGCCCCCGGCGTGGAGAGGCTGAGACGGAGCTTGCCCGGGGTGTGTAGGCGGCGGGGGCGGAGGGATGGGGAGAGGCAGCATGTGCGTTTTCTGTCTGAGATTATGTGGGTCCAGAAAGGAAGAAATACATATCCCATTTTTATTTAATCAAAAATACGTACTACGCGTAGGTAAGGACGCGTGCTGGGTACTATAGCGTGTGTGTGGCTGGGGAGGGACGGGGGGGGGGTGTCACACTGCAGCAGAGGCGCGCTGAGCCAGGCAGCTTTAAACTTGACCTAGATTCCCCGGGTGACACGCCACATCGCATTAGCCCACTCGGCCAGACCTGGACCCGCCGCAGCGCGCTGACACTGGCCCGGCCCGACAGGCAGAAAACGGGGGAGCACTTCCCCAAACGAGGCTGGGATGCGCCCCCTCTGACCCCGTGCCCCCCCCCCCCCCTCACCCCAAACCCTTCTCCTGCCAATCCAACCCAGCTGACTAAAAATGTCTCAAAGGGCACATGGCGGGGAGCGAAGGGGGCGTCTGCCGTTTGTTTGTTCATGGAGATGAACTCGATTGCCTCGTGGCCACGCCTCCGTATTTTGGGCGAACATCAACTAATGCCCCCGTCACCCAGATTCTGGTCAAGTCGAAACAAACCTCGCATGGTGATTAAATCATTACAACCGGCGGCGATACACGGAGTGACGTCCTGTGCCCAGACGTCTCGTTTCCCTCCCGTCGCAACCACGCGGCGCCGTCGAAAACCCTGAAAACAAACTCCCGCATCAAACCCGACGAACCCCGATCAGCACAAACCAACGCGAACAAGTTAAAAATCGCCGGTTTGTGATCAGGGGATCAAAGTGGGAGCGTCTCATCCTCGCCGGCTAAGCCCCTCGCTTTGGACGTGCACCTAAAGAAGAAGTTGGGGAAACCATGGCAACAGGCGCATACACAAGAGTCAGCTAAAACGCTCATTGAAAAACGGAGCTCCATGAAGAGGCTCTTGGCTCTTCTTTACACCATCAAAAACATGCCGACAGCCCAGATTGATGTTCATTTTGTATCGATGAATTCAAATGAGGGAGAGAAAAAAAAGGTTCCTCCAACACCACAGGGGCCTCATATGATCACCCAGAGTGAAGATGCTGCTTTAGTCCCAAAAAAAGGCAGCTATATTTTGTGACAGATGCATCTATAAAGAGCTGTGAATGCAGTCATTGGTGTTTTCAGGAACTCTTTGCTGAACATCTGCATCAGCAAGAAGACCTCCCCACCCTGCCCTGTCCTTGAGCGTCCTCAGACTCTCCTTCCTAGGATGTGTTAGGAAGTCATTATGGGTGGGGGGAGGGGAATTGAGTCACCGTCGTCCGTCCGTCCCTCCCTCAGGGCCGCTGCCTCCTAAACCCTTTCAAAAACAAAGATCTGCCATTCTCCTGCTAAAACAGGCCCCCGAAACCATCATTACACGGGTGACCTTGTGACTGACTTACCGATGTCACCGCAGCCCTAAATCACACTCTGCTGACTGAGCTTTAGGGAGGAGCAGTCAGGGGGCACGTTGCCTCCTATGAAAAGGTGTTGAGCCCCAAATTAAAGCCTGACTTAATCTGAAGAAACAGGAGCGTCACCTTCAAATGTTTGTTTTTTTCCTAACAGGATTTTGGGTGGGGCCCCGTGGAGGGTTTAGGATGGGCGAGCAGTGTCACATTGAGGACAACCAGAATCTTCAGGGAAAGAGAGCAGTGCCACCGTGAGGATGCAAACTGTCACACACACACACACACACACACACACACACACACACACACACACACACACACACACAAGAATGACCCCTGGCATCATCAACAAGTCAGCGTCAGGGCTGATAAAATGTGCAAATATAAAAGACAATGGGCGGGGGTTATAGTGCAATGTCAGAGCGGGGGAACTGTCACTCACTTTGGAATTTCGAAACTAATAACAGCAAAGGAAAGGAAGCAGCTCTGATGCGTGATGTGAGAGCACCCTCCAGTGGTCACATGCAGCCACTTCAGGGTAAAAAACATAAAAAATTAACCTGACATTTCTGCAGACTGTTATTGCCATGTTGCATACTAATCTCCGAACATCAAGGCTTTGCAGCCCCCCTGATGTGCTTCTTAAGGGAACCGGGGCAGGAAGTAATGCCGTGTCAGCCCTCCAGGCGAGTGAATAATAGATAACCGAGGAGAAGCCGGGAGCTTTTAGCTGATATAACAAGCCACTCTACATATTACACCCGCTCGGACATAACGTCTCAAATTACCTGCTCAGCGGGAGAGGTCGAGAGGGGCCGAATCATCTGCCACATGCTGAGTCATGAGCGGCACGGCGGATATTTTATCATGCATTCTAAATAGTGAACAGACCCAAAAGACAACCCTTTGTGGAATATTCAAATCGTAGACATGAAAAAGAGAAAATAACATTAAGGCCGAGGGTTGGATGATCCAATTCTAGGGCTATAAATCTAAAGAAACCAGCAATGTCTTTTGCGCAAAAGGCCATGATCTGCACTTTTATCACAATACTAGGCTTCACCACCAGGGGGCAGTATTGACCCAGTTATGATCATTGCAACAAGATAAGAAAAGCTTGGCCTCCGGCTACGGTACCACACCTCCCCCTGGCTTAGCGTGCTTAATCCGTCCTGTATACATGTATGAATGTATATTCACACCAAACTCGTCCTGCTGCATTACCTCGTCTCCATTTGTAAGCTCCTCCCCTGTACCGCCACGGACCCGTGTACTGCACGCCAACTCAAATAGCTTGCCATTCAGGCTATTTTGGTGAGTAGATTTGAATACTAGGGCACCACAGCAGCAGCTTGGTGTTAGCACACACACACACACACACACACGCACACACATTAACACACACACACACACACACACACACACACACACACACACACACACACACACACACACACACACACACACACACACACACAGTGAGCCTATGTACAAACCACCTGAGGCTTATCTGTCAAAACGGAGCAGCATTCTAGAACCACAGCTCAGCCATTGAAATTATAGCCGTGTGTGTCATGGTAACTATCTCCAGAGATGCGGAGGAAAATACACGGGGGGGAGGGGGAGCTGATGGTGACTGAAGGCAACCTGAGAGCAAAAAAACAAATTCCTCTTATCGTGCAATGGAAAGACTGCTAAAATACACTGGTCTATAAGTACAACAAGGTAAACGATTATAAAAAACAAATGAAACCGGTGAAATGTACTTGTACAGAAATGGGGCGTCTGTGGTGAGAGCCGAGCGGTGACCCTGTGCCCCGCACTTACATAAACACTCAGGCCTGGCGGGGCAAAAGGAAGCTGGGAGCACCTACATTACTCAACTCCTTTTTATGGCCCACAATGCACTTCATTTCCTGAGCAAGCATTACACATACACCCAGAGCACGGCACATTAGGGCTATAATAATAAATAATAATAATAATAATAATAGGTGCTTACATAATGAGATGTCTACTTTGTGTCGGTCCACTCCTACGCTTCTTTGATCACGATTTAACATTACAGAAGGTGACAGTGGACGGAGAGAAAGGATTTTACAGGTTTTACGGTGAATATTAAGTGCGTAGTCTCATTTTCCCTTCGGACTGCAGGAGTCTAAGAGACACCGGCAGTTCTGGGGAGGTTTGACTCCACCCCAGCTGGGGCACAACGTCCACAGGGAGTGATGTAATGTTAAATACAAAATAACAGCGTCCCAGTTAAAGACGAGACCTGGATTTATTTTTCTTGCGGATCTGAAAGCGGATGCAAGATTTCCGCAGAACAATAGCATTTTGCTATTTCAACAATCCTTTAAAAACAAGCTCCCATATTGAAAGTGAGAGTCGGCGTGAGGACTTACCAGCAGGGGAGCTGTGAGGCGGTCGGTCAGGAGCAGGGAAGCCCGGCCTGGCAGGTGGCCCCGGGTCACAGTCCTCCACCAGAGGTCAGCCCCTGAAAACACCAAGAACAACAGGGATGACGATGGAACAGACTATTTCAGGGGATGAAGTGTTGCATTTGTAGAAAACACACACACACACACAGCATTATCAGTGGAACAAATTGTCCCCAACAACACCGCTGCATGCAATAACATTTATACCATCTGAATGTAGGCCCTCTTTTATAGTAAAATGACACAAAAAGGGATCACAACCCAATGCACGCAATCGTGCCCTACCTTCATTGTGAAACATGAGCTTATTGCAGGTTTTTTTTTTGTTTTGTTTTTTAAACATTGGAACAAATGGGTGGTCATGAAAAAAAACAAAAAACACACACCACTTCCTATTGTGCAACACTTCCTCTGATTCATTACAGGGTTTCTTCCTGCAAGAGCTCCACAGCACAACGACTCAAACACGGCTCCACGGCGGCGTCCGCTGCTCAAGATTTTTGTAAAGTTGTAAGAAAAGATCTGATCCAAAACACATCTAGTTTGGAAGAGTCCGCCGCTCCGTCTGACACAGCAGCGAGCGAGAGGTAGACGACTTCCTGAGAATAATGGAGACGTTTATAAGTCAATAAAATCAATTATTCTAGTCACTGGTGCACGGAGCATTTCCTTCCTGCGAGGACCAGAACGTGCCCCTAATCCACTGCAGCTGACGTGCCACTGGGGACGATCTGTGGTGACATGTGTAGCATCATGGGAGTCAGCTATGCATACTGCCTACAGCTGGGGGGCCACAGCATAAGGCCAAACCCTCCCTTGAACGAGCACATAAGGTTATAGGGGTGAGAGCGCATTGGCAATTCAAGAGGGAAATAAGGCCGCCGTGTGTTTCTCCAGGAAATAAACTCAACAAAACACAGGCAGGATGGAGTCACAAGCAGTAAAACAACAAGTGCATTGTTTCCCCGATGGAAAAGGCTGCATTGATGGAACGATTAGAATTTTTTTTTTCTCCCAGAATGAATCCTCATTTAACACCAGAGTTTTGGAAACTTTCTTTATATCCAAAACAAATGTGGTCTAAATATACAAGAGATACATTTGAGGAATCGAAAACAAGATTACCCATTGAGTTTGAGTTTGCTTATTTAAAAGAAAAATGCACAGCTCTTTCGGCAGCTTAGAACAGCCTCAGTTTTCTCTGTTCCAAAGGAGCACAACGTCAACCCCTAACAAGTGAAACCGGGAGCGTTGAAACCCAAGTTGCCATGACAACTGTCTCCACTGGTGAGCGAGCGCCGAGGACGGTCTATCCATGGAGCGCAGCCGAGCCTCATCATTAGGAGAACGCGGGTCGGTTACGTGGAAATCCTCCAACTGAAATGTCACCGCTAATGACTTGTTGAGGGCCGCTGAACGCTTCACAGCAAGTGGCTCGCCGTAAATACCGTGTTAGTGGGCAAACTGTCCTTCGGTCCAGGTTTCCATAGCTTTAAATTTGATAAATATGATGGAACTAGATGAAGTAGGCCTGTGTGACATATTTATTTATCCCCATTTCACATCCATTAATGAACGCACACAGTTGTGTGAAACAGTCGTACAGGTTTCTGAGGACGGCGGTTTGGTGCGTGGGCAGCGCACCAACGGTTTCATGCAAAATCTGAATTTCCAGCATGCTGATCTGCCATCTGTGGTAACACCCCGCTCTGCGTGTCCGCCGACATGTAGGCGGACACGTGAGGATCTCACGCCTGCCCGGTGCAACACGCCGTCATTTGATCAAAATAATGAATTACAACTGCTGTTAAAGAGAAAATGTCCTGCAGATCCACGTCTTTACTGTAGATTCTGAGACTGTTTTCGGTGTGTGTGTGTGTGTGTGTGTGTGGGTGGGCGGGGGGGCAGCGGTTTTCCCTTTGAGTTATTAAGGGCGTTATGTTGCAATTTTCCATACACAGTCCACTCTCCTTTTGTACCACCTCCACTCTGCACATGGAGCAACACATGAAAGCATCCTGTCAGAGGCCTGCTGGCCTTCTTATGATGTGCATGCTTAGGGCTTCGAATAAGCAAACATCACAGGACGGAAGAGAGTGTTGAGAGGAATGCTAGAGTCTACCAGCACACACACACACACACACACACACACACACACACACACACACACACACACACACACACACACACACATCATGAGTATACAACTCGCCTCCACAGCTCCTTTCTCTGCTTATTCAACAGGAAAGACGTTTTGCTAACCAACAAACTTGAATAAATCTGTGAGCCGGCCCAGCAGCAGAGAACCGGCATAATAAACATTGAACCTAGCCAATGTACGCGATATCTGCTCTCTAATAACTCAGCCGTGTGAAGAAACGGACAGGACGAGTTGGGGGGGGACGCAACGTCAGCCTTTCCTAGCAAGTGATTTGTGCAATGTCATCTTTTCAGCTACGATTTTCTTAAGAACAAGAGCGGACACGCCGTGGCGATGCAAGAGGGAGTGTGTTCAAACGAGGTTACGACAATAGCACAGGCAAGTACACGAAAACGCAAAGGCCACAATTTCCACACAAAGTACTGCAACTGTAAGTAAAATGCATTTAAAAAAAATCATATTGTTTCAAACAACAAAGTGTTGGAAACAAAGTGATGCTAAAGTCACTGACTCGCCAACTCATGCCGCGATAACGGTGCAAGAGCAGAACGCTGAGGGCCAGAACACTTAAAATACAGTTGTGGGCGGCGGCCCGGGCCAGAGGGGTGTCGGTTCAGGTCTGTGGTGGTTTGTTGGAATTAAAAAGCGGAGCGTAAAAAAGGTTCAATCGTACATTCTCACTCTGGACTGGAAAAGTTGGGATGCAGCCGACGGCAACAAAAGTACGAAAGTCTTTGGACCGTCGCTGACGCGGCGGATGCACAAAGTGTCACAACAGCACAGCGGAACCACACAACGCTGCAACAAAGGCTCAAGATGTTTCAACACTCGCCGCGGAAATACAGGCAGTGAGTCCGACGGTCAGCGGGGGCGCTGACCGTCAGACTCACTGCCTGTATTCCCGCAACCCAACCTGAAGCCGCGGCTCGGTGCCACCGGGTACCTTCAGGGGTCCAAAGGACGGCTCTGGACGTTCCAATGAAGTCAGCAACCATCCGAATGAGATAGTCTGATTATGTCTGTCTCATTTTTACATTTAGATGAACGATATTTATTTTTTAAAAGGATGAAAGAGAAATTGGTTTGCGTGTGTGACGAAAACAAACATCCGAGCATCTTCGCCCGAGGTCACTCCTAAGGAGAACTCCAGGAAAACCGCTAAATTATTTACATTACACCGCCTCCGCCCTCATGTCATCACACCAGCTGCAGCATCAACAGCACGGCTTCCTCAGAGTTTGTTACGCTAGCAGATTCGATTCACAAATCTGCTGCTTTTGTTATTCAAGCCAGAATTGTTCAAGCTGGAATTATCGGTTTCAAGTATTTGACTGGGAGTCAAACGCTTTGGGACTAGATTACAACTAAATATTTACATGTGAAAGACAAAAACATGAAGATTTGCTTTGTATGGTACATTACACGTACGGTTTCATGCCTCTACTTGCTTTGCACTGGGATTCATGGAGGGAATACATCGCGCCAAATGAGCCATGCTCCCACTTCATGCTGGTTCCAAACCAGGTGCATGTGAGAAAAGCTCCCACTGGTTAGTTCCTGAACCCATGAAACACCAGATCTCACTTCCCTGTATCACAGAAGGTCAGCTATGGCGAGAAACTAACTGCAGCAACTTTTAACTGCAAGACATTGAGGAATCAGACCTCCATTAGATCACATCTCTTCACATCGCTGCAGAAAGAGTAGGAGACAAGTCGTGCCACCTCTCAAAGTCCCACTGCCACTAGCGAAAGGTATTTGCCAAATGTGCAGTGGCAGATATAAGGGAGACACGTTGCAAAGAGGACAACTCAAATAACCTCGAGGCAGGTTATCTCACACAGAAACTCTGGGTTCCTCTCTAGACCGGCTGGCTTTCAGTAAATCAAGGTTGCCTGAAATAAAGGTGCAGCATAACTTTAAAGGGAAAGCAATAGCAGTCCTTTCTCCCATCGAGCTACATCCGTAGGAGCGTCATTTCTGTCATTAAGGAGGTAAAAAGGTCCCGCTGTACCTTTTCGAAAGCCCACAAAGCGGCCCATTGTGTCTAAAGCCAGAGCCGTGAGACACAAATTAAATGCAGAGTTGCATCACAACCACGACAGAGCCGCACTTGCCTCACATGCCGTCCAATCGGGCTTTCTGGGACGTTTCACTTCCACTTTCAGAAAGTCTTGCAGAAGCAGAGCGGAAAGAAGACAAAACACACACGCACGCACACGCCAGGGTGAGTCTGTGCAGACTACTCATGCAAACTTTTCGTTTTAACATTGCACTCAAGGGAGGTACCAGATCCTATACAGGGTTGATTTGTTTTCCCAATTCATGCCACTTTACACTTCATTTAATGGGAAAATATAGATTTTTTTGTGAGATTATATCTAATTGATGACGCACTTTTGCAGAGTCTGATTTGATTTGATCACAATAAAGTGAATTAAAAGAGACAACCAGCAACATTCAGATACTTCAGTAAATGATCCGTTAGTACTTTAACAAGAATAATTCAGCATTTCAAATTACGCTACAAAACCACAGTTTGTTGAACCAGTGATCATCTCTTTAAATGACGATCATGCATTGAGGAAAATGGAAAATTCTCATGAGCCGAACCAGCTGTAACCAGCTGTCAGTGGGTGCGATTTCCTCCCGACGGTTCCCCGCGATGCTGCTCCGCGAGTCCTGATCCGAGTCACACGACCGAACGCCGGGAGCTCTGCGCGGCCGGGGACAGGCCGATGGAGCTCGGTAACGCGTGGGCATCAAAACCGACGGCCGGTGCTTCTGAAGCCTCGCGTGAAGGGAGAGCCGCGCTAGCGGCGCAGCCTCGCGCGCACCCAGAGACCGTTGCTCGGAAAAGGGGGAAGTTAACGGCGCATCGAGGATGTGACACACATACACACAAAAAAACAACACAAAACACAAAACAAATATCCTCAACTGCCGCGGTTGTATTTCGTAGTAACTTTTAATGTGAGAGCGGGTGTTTTTTCACGCCGCTGAAATTCTGCCCCCGGGGAACAGATTTAACGCTCAAAAAGGGGGGCAGACTGAATGGCAACCTGTGGGCAGTAACGGTCGTTAGTTGAGAGGACGGAAAATGGAAATATAAAGCAGTGTGTGTTTTTTTTTTACCTCGAGGTTCCGTGGAGAAAAGCCCTGGAGTCGACGTCTGGACACCACGCGAGGAAGCCAGCGGCACTGACCGAATGAAGAGGAAGAAAAGCGATTTCGCTGCTGCCGTTTCCGGGTTAGGCAACGAGCGTCACCGTGGCCGTCAGACGAGAAAGGGAGCTCGGTTTGCTCCACCTCTGCGCGCGGCGGTGGGGGAGTATTGAAGCTTCGTCGCGTGACTGGAGATAAACCCGCCCGGTCAGCGGAGACCCGCTGATGTGTTTTAACGCTGCCCTTCCATCAGCGCACAGCCGAGCGTTTTCTTTAAAAAAACGCTCTAACAGGGGTTTCAATCGGAATTTGTGACCATTTGGAGCCGTTAAGGTTCAACAACCTGTATGTCCAACGTTTATTACCTCTACCGAAGGGCCCTTGAGCATAAAGCAAAAAGCTAGTGTAAACCGTAACAAGGCTGTTGGGGGCGCTAACGTGCCATCCACTTTGACCCCACTTTGACCCCAGAGTCACTCACGTCAAACCGCTGGATCAAATGGTATCAAAAAGAACATTTATATATAAGTACACTGAAATACAAATTCGACGTAGTTGTTTTCGGATATTTACATTTTGTGGTGCTTCATAGAAAGACAAATATTGTCGTTTTTACTCCACTAGGTTCATAACTTTTAATTAGTTTGCAGATTCAGATTATTAATATTTCATTTAAATTAACTAATATTTCATAATACATAATCAGCTCAATCTTTAAAGAAAGAAGTGTTTAAAATAGCTCCACCTTTGCCAAGCTGCAATATTAAAGTAATGATTTTTCCAATAATTATAATTGACTACCAGCAATATATGTTTTATATGTTGCATAGTTGTGTACTTGGGGTATATTCTGAATGCAGAGATCTGATGTTCACATGTTCCACCCTAGATTATTGGCATTATGCAGATGAAACAATATAAGGACTAAAAGTACATTTTAAAAAGTCTTCAAAAGCATTGATGTGGAAAATGCGTTTGAATCTCACTTTGATCTCACCCCCAATGGTTCACTCAAAGGGGGACGTGTATTGATGTTTATTGACGTGTAATTAGGTGTAAGGGGATGACATGAGACATTTATTGGAGGGCGTCTTCTCCTAAACTGTTAGCTTTTCAGTTTAGCACCATGTATCTCTTTGTTTTCCTGTTTTATAGGCACTTAGATCTTTAAGAGTTACAAAAACATGTAATGTAATTGCATGCATTGGTTTCCTCTCATGCTTTGCAGCCACTCGGGATTTATTTAGAGGTTTCTTCAAGCAATGACACACCTGTTTGTAATTTAAGAGCGTTTAGTGATCCAACTGACTGATTAAATGCTGGTTGCTGCACATCGATGAAAGATCATTTTGTTTACTTCTTGCTGCTTTTCACAAAAACATCAAATCTGTGAGGAATTATTTTTCAGCATTTAATTACTTTGGTGTTCAAGCTCCTTTTAACACTTAGCAGTGCCAAATATTAGGCCTCTCACCAAACAGCCACTAATTAAGCAGCACACCTGCCTTCAATCACGTGTCGTGTGCGATCAGGTGCAGCATATAAAACCTCCCAGCGGTAACTGGACACTCACATTCCACAGGAGTATTGGGAAGTGAGCATATCGTCGCAGAAGACTTTTGAGCTACTTTGTTTGGCGAAACCCCCGGATTGAGCCATGGTGAAAGAGAAGACTCACGTCAACGTGGTGGTCATCGGACACGTCGACAGCGGCAAGTCGACCACCACCGGCCACCTCATCTACAAGTGCGGCGGCATCGATCAGCGAAAGCTGGAGAAGTTTGAGAAAGCTGCTGCACAGGTGAGTGAGGAAGCGAAAACCCTGCTGGGGGGGGAATGCAACTGACTGCATTTAAAGACTTGTTTTTATATTCTGTCACAGATGGGAAAGAGTTCCTTCAAATTCGCCTGGGTGCTGGACAAGCTGAAGACCGAGCGTGAGCGAGGAATCACTATCGATATCTCTCTGCTGAAATTCAACACCCAAAAATACACCATGACCATAATTGACGCACCAGGCCATCGTGACTTCATTAAAAACATGATCACTGGAACGTCACAGGTGAGCAGCGTGGAAGCGCTGCACTTTTTCTATCTCACACGTGTGTGTTCACCTTCTATTCTCTCCACAGGCTGACGTTGGCCTCCTGGTGGTCTCTGCGGCTAAAGGGGAGTACGAGGCCGGCGTGTCCAGGAGCGGTCAGACCAGAGAGCACGCCTTGCTGGCGTACACCTTGGGGGTCAAGCAGATCATCGTGTGTGTGAACAAGATGGATCTGACCGAACCCCCCTACAGCAAGGCGCGCTTCGACGAGGTGGTGCGCGGCGTCGGCAGCTTCCTCAAGAAGATCGGCTACGACTGCGCCACTGTGCCCTTTGTTCCCATATCGGGCTGGACCGGGGAGAACATGATCACTGCGACGCAGAGGGTGAAGATTTGGGTGGTTCAAGTTCAAATGTGGCTGCAAACCTTTTTTTGAGCTAACGTTCTTTTCCACAGATGCCCTGGTTCCAAGGCTGGAAATCCAGACAAAGGGAGGGGAACGCAAGTGGAAGAACTCTACTAGAAGTCCTGGACTCCATCCAGCCACCAGTGCGCACGGCCAACAAGCCGCTACGATTACCTCTGCAGGACGTCTACAAGATTGGCGGTTAGGAATCCGGCTCTCGGTTCATTTTTTGAATCATGTTTTCCTGGTAACAGGAGCTGCAGAACCAACATTTTGTCCCGTGGCTATAAAGTGTTTACTTTCATATGTTCCTACAGGAGTAGGCACCGTGCCAGTGGGGAAGATTGAATCTGGTGTCCTCAAGGCCGGGATGACCCTGATGTTCTCCCCGGCCAAGGTCACCGCCGAGGTGAAGTCCATTGAGATGCACCACCAGGGGCTGCAGACGGCTCTGCCGGGCCACAACGTCGGCTTCAACATCAAGAACGTGGCTGTGAGGAACCTGCGGCGCGGCGACGTGGCTGGAAACGCCCAGCACGACCCTCCAGCAGATGTCAGCAGCTTTGAAGCTCAGGTTGGTCCAACTCTGAATGTCCTGCGTAACCTTGTGGCCGTTCCGTTTGTGCTGATTACTAAGTTTTTCTTCTTTTTCGTTTTTAAATGGAGGTGATTATCCTGAACCACCCGGGGACAGTTAAAGCCGGCTACTCTCCGGTCCTGGACTGCCACACCGCCCACGTCACCTGTCGCTTCGCTGAGCTGAAGGAGAAGCTCGACAGGCGCAGCGGCAAACAGCTGGAGGACCACCCGCAGACCCTGATGTCCGGAGACGCTGCTACGGTCCGGATTGTTCCCATCAAGCCCATGTGTGTGGAGAGCTTCTTCACCTACCCTTCCTTAGGTACCGCAGCCATCACGTCGCTTTAAATTTGTAAAAGTGCCAAATCTGTGGTTCTGCGGCGTTTTTACAAGTTTTTATTTTATTTTTTGTCTTGCTCCTCAGGCCGCTTTGCAGCAAGGGACCTGAAGCAGACAGTGGCTGTGGGGGTCATCAAGTCGGTGCAGAAGGACCAAGGAGGAAAACTCTCGCACAAAGCCCAAGTGTGCAAATGATTTACCAGTATATCCTGGTATGGCTGCTTGTGAAAAGTTTTGCAAAAAGTAATTTGTGCTGTGACACAAAGTATAAGTTGAGTATTATTCCTGTGTTAACGTTAAATGCCGACATTCTGGTTGGTGAACTTTGGTTGATTACAAAATAAATAATTTGAACTTTATCTGTATTGAGCGTCATGGTTTCCTGGGGGGGGTGAGGAGCGCACACACAAGGTATTCTGACAGTCGTCTTGCCATCTAACCCGCTTTGGAATGAATCACCAGAGCAGGCAGAGTACGTACAGCACTTTAATGATTTGATGGGTTCGTTTGCTAACATGGGGAAGAAGGGACTGCAAGTCAGGGAGGATTAAGTGGAAATACATCGGCGCTCCAGCCTCCCAAAAGACCTCTGGTTCATAAGCGAACCTGGAAATGTACAGGATCCAGTAACGTTGAGATACATGACTCAAAAGAAATTGTAAAGCTTTTCTACAAGACTAACAGGACACTTCTAGCCAGTCAGAAAATCAAGTTATTGCATCCTTGAGTTTCCTGTACTTTGTCATAGTGGCTTCAACAGGATCCCTTATTTAACGTAGACCTGCCTCATAGTGGCTCTTCAAACCCAGCACTCGATTCCAGTCATTGTTACACCACGCACAGAGGGTCAAAGGACTGGCGATGGCGTCAAGTTCAGAGCTGCATACAGTGTAACAATCAGTGACCTACAGTGAACACGGGCTGATATTCCACCACAGTAGCAGCAGGTTTCTATACTGTAAAACAACCATAATACGTGTACACACAAAGCAAGAACAGGGAGTACATTTAATGTTTTCATCTTAGTGGGAGATTCCAGCCTCTTCGGTGGTAAACAGGGATGCGAGAGACAAATAGTGACATGACCTATTTCACATTCCAATTCTCACTTGTCCTTTTTCCAGAAACGTAAGCCGATAATTACTTGGGGTCCAGATGAGATTCAAAGTCTGGCGCATAATTGGACCGGTAGAGAGCAATGGTACATGTTTTGTACAATAAAACATGTTTATACACTCACACACAAATATATATATTTACATACATATATACACAGTAACAGCATTAACATAGACTTTAGGTAAGTGCTAGGGTTTTGAGAGTGGCTTTGTCACAGCCGTGCTATAAGGTTAAGATAATACTGGTAAAGGAAGAATACACACATTCTTTGTACAGCATGGAGGAGCCTTGTTGTTGTTGGTTTTTCTTCTTCTTTTTAGGACACTTGCCGTGTGACAAGAGGTGTTGTGACGGCTATTTACACAACCTTCCAATTTAGGGAGAGGCGTAGTGCAAGTCTCTCTCTGACGGTCAGTCACTCAGGATGTGCACAAAAGACATGGGGAACACCCCTTTTCTGTCCGGTTCTCCTTCAACGTGCCCGATCTGGAAAGTGGAAAGAGAACACGTGAGAAAACAACAACAACGGTGGTTTGGTGGCGTTCAGTGTTTAAGAAACACAACGAGGGCGGAAGTACTGAAGCCGCACTCACCCACCACTCCTGGTCCTCTTCTCCCGTTACTATAATCACCTCTCCTTCAACGAAAGTCAGCTCGTCGTCGTTGTCAGCCTGGCAGTCGTAGATCGTCTTCACCCGACGGGTTTTGCTCTTCCCCTTTTAAACGTTTAAATGGCAAAACTGTTACAGTAGCCAACACGGTAGCTTAGCAACCAAAGATGTCCAAGAATGGCAGAATAATCCTGTTGTTACCGTGTTAATCTTCCTAGGGAGGGGCACCGGTGTTTCCGCGGTCCCCGCCATGGTCCCGTTGGTGTCCTCGGCGGCTGGCTGGGTGGGGGTCCCCACGTGGGCTTGCTGATTGGGTGACGGGGAGTCTGGAGGCGGAGGTTGAGGCTGAGGCTGAGGCGGAGGCGGGGGCTGCGTCTGAGGCCTTTGCACCGTGTCGCCGGGCGGCGCCCTCGGAGCGGACTCGGCCGTCCCGGGTTTCGGGGGGATGTCGGCGAGATGAGGCTTGGGGGGCAGGTCTTTGAGCTGCGGTTTGGGCGGGAGGTCGCCCAGCTGAGGTTTAGGAGGGAGGTCGGAGAGCTGCGGCTTCGGAGGAAGTTCTCCGGGTTTCGGAGGGAGTTCAGACGGCTGCGGTTTGGGGGGCAGGTCCCCCGGCTGAGGCCTGTCGGCCGGAGGAGCCTTCTGCGGGGGGTCGGACGCCGGCGGGGACTTCTGGAAAACCTCTGGAGGGAGGTTGGGCTTGTCCATCGACGGGTGGATGGTGTCGATCTTCCGCAATGCCACTGGAGAGAGAAGCAAAGCCGTTTGATGAAAAGGGCTTCAATTCAACAGCCAGCTTCGAGATGAAGAGCAGACGAAGGCTTTACCTTTCTGAGGTAGTTTGGGAAGGACCCGTGGACCAAGTGTAGACTTTGTGTTGCTCGAAGTAGTGCTGGGAAAAGATTTCCAAACTATCTGTCAGCTTCGATTCATTTCAAGCCAAGCGAGCTTCAACTTTCGCCGCGATTCTCTCTTTCCTTTCCGTACCTTTGCTGCTGAGGAATTCCTTCAAACTTGTTAGAAATAGGAGACATCTTGTTGACAGGAGGAGGGGTGGAGTCGCTTCCTAAAACATCGACATCGATGAGGACACAAATTATTCAGCACCACAACAGAACACTCGCTAAAAGATTGATTTAATGTAAATGTGGAAGTAACGTAACATGCTGTGATGGTTAAAAGAATAATAACGAGGGAGGAGTCGTCTGGCTGAGCTTTCTATGAGCCGCTGTTAATTAGAGGTTGTGCAATAAAGTGTCATCATTATAATTAGTGATTGGGTGTAACTGTACGGCTGACACAGAACGCACAAAAAACCCCACAGAGGACAAATGATAAAAGTGGAATAACAGTAAAAAATACACAGAAGGAACACCAGAAGTAAGGTGACAGGTGTGTTTGGCTTCTTTTGTGTCCAGGTGGTGGCTACAAGATTACGTTTCTCTTTTTGTGTGAATCAAATCAGAGTGAAATGCTGCTTTCAGCTGAGAAATGTAAGCCGAACTGAGTCGGACTCAGATATCTCTTTGTGCAGTTTGGAAGTATGTTTACTGGTGAACTATCTTGTGGATGTTTGATGATTAAAATAGAAGCAAAGTTTAAAGTATTAAAGCATCCATTGCTGACCATTCTATTTGTTTTTAATTATATTTTGATTTACGATGTAACTAATTGCGCTTTGGTGAGATAATTATAAAAAGATACTTGCAATCCCATAAAAATCTAATTATAACGGACTACCATTGAACATACCTGTGAGCTGCACAAAGACAAATAAAAAGGCCTCCACTTGTCTGCAGTAATTGATTCACTCGTAATCTTTGGGAACATTTAAGTGCAGGACAATAACCCCCCCCCTCCCCCGGGCGTTTTCGGGCAGATGAAGGTATCGGAGTTTCAAGCAGCTCCGCTGTTCTGACGTGTGCTTGCGTCTCACCCCCAGTCAAGCCCCCTTTACTGTGTGGACTGTGAAAGAGCGGGCTGGGCGGGTCAGACAGGGTGCGTTTGTGTCCCGGAGGTGGGGGCGGAGGTCTCTTCTTGGACAGCGTGGAGCTGCCTCCCGGTGTGAGTGTGGAGGGAGGGCCAGATGGGGGAGGAGCTGGAGGAGCGATACATAAAACACATGAGGTGATGCGGCCCGCCCAAGAAAACGTCATTCTGTTAAACCCCCCTCCCAAAAAAAACCCCAGAGAAAAGAAGAGAGAGGATGATGACACATGGAGAGGAGGAGCAACTAGAACAACAGACGGTCTGAACAGATACACAACAAACACGTCCGGACCGGAAAATAGCTCATGAATAACGGAACCTCCGAAGCACTAATTGTTCTATAATAAGAGAGAAAAGTAGGATGGAAGCAGCTAATAGAGAGCTCAGCCAGAGAGGAGTCAGCTGTGGATACGGGTTTACAGCTCAAGGGTGGTGGGACACGATTCCAGCGAGACAAAACATCCACGTAGGCGAGGAACAATGGAGTGGAGAACACCAGCCGGCCTACGTGGTCCCATTGTTTCACTTAAATAAACGCCACCACCATGCAAGCGTGAGCTGTAAAGTAGGGATGGGGAACGTAGAGTGCATGGGGCACGCGGCCGAAGTAAGGGGGAGAACAGAAAACCAGGATATTCACTGATGTATGGTCGGGTGCCGGCCAGTGTGGCGTAGTGCGAATGAGAGCCGAGGAATGCCAAGTGTGGAGCTGAAAGAATAGAGAAACAAAAAAAGAGAAAAGAAAAGAGAGCGAGATGAGGAGGGTGGGAGAGAATCTACAGTATGTCAGTCTTAAAGGAAAATAAAAAAATAAAAAAAGGGCTGCTCCCACACACTGTAGATGTAATCGTATCATTGGTGTGCAACAGAAAAAAGGAAAAAAAAGAGGAGAAGAAGAGGGAAAAGGCGTGAAGCCGGCCCACGGGGGCGAGCTGTTCAGCACCCGCTGAGCGAGCTGCTTCTGTACAGTTAGCATGTTATTCTAGATCTATGCATCTATCTGGCTTCAGCTTTATTTGGAAATGAATCCAACACTCCCACTTGTTTGCAGTGCGATATGAAATACTGAAAGGTTTAAACTCTTATTCCATTCAGAATCCGCAGGTAATGGTTTCTTTATTTCTATTATCTTGTACGCAGTTTCTCAAAATGATTAAGCAGCTGAATGCCCCCCGAGAGATGCAGCCCCAGTCCCCGCCCGTTTTGTACGTAGCTAGCAGGTGCACATTTCAGCTGGAGAAAGAATCAGTGTTAATTAGTGAGACAAAAGAATCTGCCAACAAAATCCTCGCCAGCAAGAAACGAGGCGCCAACTTTTTTGTTTTTGTCCCGCGAGTGTTGGTGAGTCGAACCCCCTCCCCTCCGCGGAAACAAGTGTTATCTTTAATCCTGATACTGCAGAGACAGCACGCCCGCGGGGCAGCGAGCGCGTGCACCGCGTCGAGGATAATGACGAGGCGTGCATCTCGCCGCGCTTTCACACGCCCGACCAACCATCGCTACCCATCCTTCCCTTGCGGCCATGTTTTCCCGAAAGTTTGCCGTGTAAGCAATCTTCATGACACCTGTACCCCGCCCTCGGATGCGGGTGTTGACAAATTGCATTCCACTGCAGGGAGGGTGTGTGTGTGTGTGTGTGTGGGCTGACAGCGCAAAGGAGAACAAAGTGATGAGTAGGCATTTTTCTGCTGCTTATCCCGTCCTGAATGTAATGAAACATTAACAGGCATAATGAAGGGAGGGTTTTAAACGCTATCTCCCCGTCAGTGGTCAGATACAGCATTTGCATTGCAGGCGGACCGAACACGATCTCCTGAATTTACCCACTATAAACTAAACACCCGATATACAAAACGGTAAATGTTGCGGTAGTGCGGCTCGGAAAGCCCTCGGAGCAGGCCGGTCTGACCTTTGCCCTGGTTCCTGGGTGGCAGCGGCGGCCCGTCGGCCACGGGGGAGGAGGTGAGGTCGGTGGAGGCGCTGTACATCTGGTTGGTGAAGGCGCTGTAGGACAGGCGCTGCTGTTTGTCCCGCTGGCTGATGAAGCCCGGCAGGGAGAGCTTGTCGTGGGGGGAGAGGCTGGAGGAGTGGCAGAAGCTCTGAGGCCTCGGGGAGCGGTCCTTCTTGATGGGACTGGGCTGCAGGGGGGACATGAGACTGTTGAGACGATTCCGCAGAGCCCAACGAGCCGACACGCGGGTGATTTAAGGGAACGGTTTTACATTTTAGGAAATGCACGTGGTCACGTTAGATGAGGACATGAATACATTTGAATAGAGGCCACGCAGGTTTTAAGAGCTCTTTATGCTACGCTAAGCTAACCGCCTGTATACTTTCAGTATATATTTGTTTCCAACGTTTTTTGTATTTAATTCATCGCAAAACACTTTAAACTGTAGGTAAGTGTCAAACCACTGAGCTCCAGAGCAACACCAGGGACGGCCCGTTATGGCGGCTCGCTGAAAAAAAAAAAACAGATTGAATTCAAGCCCGTGGGACTGAACGCGAGGCTCATGTTCGGACCTTATCGTCGAGGTCGTCGTCGCTCTCGTCCATCTCCTCCAGTCTGAGGCTCCACTCGTACTCCACGTGGATGTGGGGGTTGAACTTCCCCTCTGCGGCCTGCACCAGCTAACACACGCAGACACAACACTCAGTTTCATGTGAAAACTGATGCTATTCATGACCGTTATCAGTCAAATGAAAAACAGCAATCAGATGAGGAGGGAAATTAGATAGCGTGCCAATATAAAAATCAGCATGAACAGGTGATGTATTGTAGCAGGCTACTGTCTGTTCTGGTTATGATGATTAATTAAACAGTATACAGAACTACAACATGCAGGCAGCATGCGTTATATTCTGTATTGCATTTATGAGAGATTGTACACTGCATTCAAAATGGCTTTCTTTCATCTGCACGGTCATAGTAGCGTTATTAATGAACATACATCAACAATTATTTCCACTCTGCTGTCACTGTTGCTCGAGGCTGCAGCCAGACATTTGACTGCCATCTAGTGTTCTGTATCGTCCGCCATGTTTAATCAACCGCATCCTGTCCTCTGCAACCCTTTTCTTTTATTTCTCTGGACTTCTTTTTTTTTTTTTTTTTTTTTTTCACAATTCAGTATTTTTCTCGAGAACATTCAAAACCGCCATGTTGTCAAAAAAAAAAAAAAGAGCCACCAGCTGGGATGTGTCGTACTTACTGCCTCCTCACACTGTGTGTTCCTCAGTCGCCTAGCAACATCCAGCGCCGTCTCTCCGTTCTGATTGGCTGAAGGGAAGAAGAGGGAGGATCAACCGTTAGGGGCCTGCGTACGTGCGTGAGGAGCACATCAACGGGAGAAGGTGACTGACTGATATCGGTGGCCGGCTTCCCCCTCAGGAGCAACTTCAGGCACTCGGGCTTCTCGTACATGCTGCAGTAATGAAGGGCCGTGTTGCCCCACTCCGTCTGCTTATCCAGGTTACCGCTGGGAGAACACACACACACACACACCGAGTCAGGACACATGTTTCAAGCGGAGGGGGATTCTTCTTGCAGCTTCAGGTCAATGTTTTATTTCCAAGGATTTGGGGATTTAGCATGAAAGGAAAAAGGATTTGTTTGAACACCGGCTCTTGTAGTCGGCTGTTTGTTAAAACATTCTCCAAACATTTTCTTCTATTTTCTTTCTCCTCGTTTCTTGCTTGTTGTGTGAATATAGATATTGTGTGCTAATGCTAATGATGAGCTTAATAAAAGGAAAGAAATGCGAGCAAATTACAAATTCCACCTTCCCTGTTACCGCAGGTAAGTGATCCATTTAGCTCCCCTGCAGCTCTGAAAAAAGGACGAGGGAATGACAGCCGATGCTCGTATGAGCACAACAATTCATTTCCACTTCCTGTGCGTGCAGTTGGAGCAGTGGTGGGTAAACAATTGAAAAGAGAGGAATAAATTAAGGCGAGGAACAAGTGCCTGACCCATTTCTGTTTGCCCTGTGGGAGCCGGGAGCTGAGCTCTGCAGCGCCGAGCCCTCCTCTGCACTTCCACCGCGTTCATCACAGAGGCCGAGGCAGAGGAGAGGAAAGACTCACAGCAGGCAGGCGGATCACACTTGACATTGCGCATTCGCACAAAACCGCCGTTTGGCACATCACTCGTCTCTGCACCGCTGACGGCGCTTTCATGCGCTATTAAACTTGCACAAAAACGCAAAATAAGCGCCATTCTATTCTTTGGAAGTATTCTAAGTGGTTACAAATTTACCTGTTCTGCACAAGGAAGTCCACCAAGTGCAGGGAGGTCTGGTCAGCAGTCCGTACGGAGTAGTGCAGTGCCGTCTCTCCGGATTCCTGCAGGGGGCCGTCAAACACAGCAAAGACACGGTGAGACGGTCTTGGGCAGCATCCATTCTGTATTCTCTCCCTCTGCGTGTGCGTCTCTTTCAGCATTTAAACAAGCTGCAGTAAACAAAATGGCTCCTAAAATATCATTTCAGCAGGCATGAAGCTGAAATGTGCACATCTCTGAGGAGCATCTTGCAATAATTCCACCCGTCAATGTAAATTGAAACTAAACGTAATCTCTCTCGATGCCGTTTTAAAGCTGGAGGTGAAAGAATAAACACGTAGGATTATATGTCCTGTACATTTGGATTTATTTTTGCATCTATAAAGGTAGAATAAGGGCCCTATGTAGTCGCGCAGGGAGGGAGGGGGGTGGAGGCCAGGGGGGATGACGCTAAGCTGTCGGCAGCCATTCAGATGTACTGACAACAGCAGATCACATATCGGTGAGTCATACTTCACTGCGCAGACAGCAGCAGCTCCCTCTGTCAGCACACCGTATCCTATGTTATTCTGCTGCTGCTGTTACCCTTAATTCTTTATTAGAGAACCGCCACGGCTGTGTTATAAAACCGTGACCCATTTATGTCAGACTAAGTCTGATCACCCGTGTTGTTTACGGCCCAGCGTGCACAGCGTCCGCCGCTCGGTATTTAACTTTCAGTTCAGGCCCGAAGCCGCCGCGCAAAAGGAACCAAAGAGGCTGAATCGCGGAAAAACTGAGACAGGAATTACGTCGCCCCAGAAGTCGTCTGAGCTCAGAATGAGATGGAGGTTGCCGGATACCACCATCTGCCGGTGAACTTATCTGGATGACGGTACATATTCCAACTGTCACACCCATTTCTACCGGCCAGATCCAACACCAACTGGGAGAAATGTGTCACTGTTAATTGTCCATTATGAGATCGGGGTGTGGGAGGACAAAGATTGACATCATCCAGGCACCATAGTACACTAAATGTCAACGTCACATGATCGCCATCTTAGCGAAAACAGCGACCAAATCGAGCTTGAGATATGCAATTTTAAAAGGGCAAATGGTGAAAAATAACCAGCGGAAACCGTTTAAATCCTGAAGGTATTCAGAGGCAACTAAGACAGAGAATATACAAACCCATAAATAATGGACTGTTTTGTCACACTCTGCCATATTAACTTAAAAAGCAAAAAGCGGGGGGGGGGTGATTGAGGAGGACTTACCTGTCCGACCTCTGGGAGCGGCTCCATGAGTTCAACCCCCTCAGCGTAGACCTGGATGAGGGACAGCAGGTCCCTGGACTCGACCGCCTCAAACAGCTCGATCATCTTAGCGGACGCGGACGTGCACGTCTTCCTCGCATACCTGTGGTCCACATACTTGGCGTTGATGAACTCCTTCCTCACGGTCCTGTGGAGGGAGGGGGGGGGGAATTGGTGGGATTTTCAGCCAATCGGGTTGTCGGGCAGCTTTTCTTCCTCGGAGAGTACTTACATGTCACTGGATGGAGTGGGCTTCGGTGTAGGGGAAGTGAGGTTCCCCTCCATGATCTCATTGAAACTACTGTTCCCCACGTTCTTGGCCAGCTGGTGGAGAAAGGAGAGAAGGTCTGCGTTAGATCCCCACAGCAGAACTGTACTAGTGTGCCTTCAGAGACAGCTCCACACCTGCAGCTTTAGGGATCAAATCCTGCTCTCTGCAGCCTTTCCACTACTCTCTCATTATTTCTAATATTTCACTCCAGATGAAAATAGTAAAGAACATAAAGGACCGCTGCCTCGAGAAGCTATTCATTCACTCGGCGGACCATTTCCGTGACTCACCAAGAGTTCTGAAGTTCCTAGCTTGTCGAGCTCCATGGACTGGATGCGGGAGATGTGGACTCCCATCTCTCGGTGGATGCCGGAGCACTCGATGCAGGTCAGGATCCCCAGGTTGGTGGACAGCCACTTAGGATCTACGGACACGAACGATATGAGAACATACGTGTTGATGCTCCCGATAACCTGCAGCACATGGTCGCTGACGCCGGCAGCGTGATAGAAGCACGTGGATGGACATATGGTGCAAGTACAGTAAAACAGCTGTAAGTTACGTGCCTCAGATGTGAGGCTTAAGTATGAAGCAGTGTGTCTGCGCTGTGTTGTGGTCCTTTAAGGCTGCAGTCAGTAGAGGAATTGGTGTCTCGTGACCACAGTGCAGGAGGCAGATGCAGCCCTTTGCACAACCTACTGCCAGGGAAAGAGCGCTCTGAAGGTCACCGCTCGATGTCCTGATGCAACCTGGGAGATTTGAGCGAGCTCTGAAAGCTTCGTTGGTTGTGATGTTGTTCTGTTTGGACCTGACAAATGAACAGCGGGTGGACACGGCTGAGGCGGCTCCAAGAACTAATGAGTCATACACTGAAACACGGGCGAAACGCACACACATTTTCACAACGCGGGGAACAGATGCCGGCCTGAATGAGACGTCCCGTTTCCACCGAGGCCAGATGGGGCAAAGACGTGACCTTCGGGAGTCAAACCAACGACCTTTCAACCGGAGAGTTAAAGTGATGCGTTGAAGAAAGGAAACCACTTCTAGAGCATTTGATCAAGAAAAACAGGAATTAAGACAGGAAGCGGGGCTTAAACTCCACATCTGGAACATCTGGAACAACGTGTTGTACTGAAACCATGTACATGAATGGCCAAGGACATAAAGACTTATTACCTCCCCTCTCAGGGGGGTCAACAGAGCGTGTGTGACTTATGTAAGAATGTGACGTAATGGTGTTGTTTCTCAAAACGCAGAGATGTTTTTTTGTTTTTTTTTCAGCCCTCAGAGCATAAAATCCTCCGTTCAGTCGCTCGGTGAGCTGCTGTGTGTGCTGGAAGAGAAGAGTGTGTGTGTCAGCGGGCCTGAATATCTACGCCACTCCTGAATGCTGAGTCCTTGCTTCCCAATGTGGGGGAGGATCAGGATCAGGTTGTGTCCTGAATGCTAACAGCGCGCACACACACACACACACACACACACACACATTTGTTGAAGGCTGCGGGAGGATTTGTAGCTTGTTCCGTTACCATCGAACCGAAGGACAGCGAGTTCAAGGTAGCTGTGACATTGCAAAGAAATCCAGATCTGTGCGTGGCTTGAAATAAAACATCTGCGCATAGTGACATAAGAGGACGGAGAAATGCTGAAGAAAGGTGGGGGTCGACTGAGCACCAACAGGAAGAGGATGTGTGTGTGTGTGTGTGTGTGTGTGTGTGGCCTCGCCGGACACACAAGCTGCAGCGGTACACACCTGAAGCGCCACAGTCGCAGCAGACCTCGTTGCCCGGCATGCGCAGCACGTCTTCTATGATGGCTTTGGTCAGATCCTCCAGACCGTCCTCGCCGCCGCTGCTCTGCTCGCCGCGAAACGCCATGTTCAGGGCCTCCTCCTTGCTGTTGGTCAGCACCGAGATCCAGCTGCATAAGGGATCACATCATTACAAACGGCATTTTCGGGGATGCTGAACCAAAGTGTTTGTGTGTTTACTCATGTTGTGCCTAATATGCTGCTTGTTTAATTGCGGGGAAGCGTGATCAGCAGAGCCGCAGCCTTATGTAATAATAAACATTACTTGCGAAACGCCACGAAGACGCGGACGCTGCCCGGGCAGCGAGAAGCCTCCCAGAGGAGGACGGAGGCATGCAGTGAATCTGTTAGCTGCATTTTGACCTCACGGGACAATAAGCCAGGTGGAGTAATCGCAAACATGTATGACTGGTTGTTCCCCTGAACACAGATCTACTTTAGGATTAACTTTACCGTAGATAAAATAAAATAACGTTGGGACCACTTCGCTGTAAAAAACAAATCAAATGTGTACGTCTGTTTAGAAGCTTTGCTTACTTCTGAAATGCTACATTTAAATAAAAATAAAAAAGGCCGTCTGGTGACGAAAACATTTGTAGCGAAACTACAGTAATGCATGTGAGTGACAGCATGGGAACAACAGTATGAGGTTGCAACAACTGCTATTCTCTGCGGCAGCTCGCTTTGTTTCTTTCAGTGCAACAGGTCGACTCATGAACCTTAAGGGATCCCCATGAATGCTCTTCTTTGTGTGCGTTTTTTCGAGCAGCATCACTCTGACGTACTCACATGACAAACTCCTGCTCATCCTCGGCTTGGAAATGATATGTCCGGTTATCTGTCGAGTACAGAAAGGAGGGCGTTAAGTAAGCAAATTTCTTATCATGCGTTTTATAACAGCCGGCGCGCGGGACCTGAAATACGGGACGGGTCCGTGTGCCGCTTGCTGGACATGCGGCCTAAACACAGTCGGTTATGCCTCCGCAGATGGGTTTATAAAACACGGGAGTTCTACAACGGACTCCCTCCGACATGGAGGGAATTAAAACTATTCTGGCATCAAGGAAAACTTACGGGAAATGAGATCAAAGCACTTCCTGTCCTCGGTACTGGGCTTGACCTGGCAGGTGAGCAGGTTGAGTTTGACCGGCTGCCTGTTGGACTGTGGAGAGTAAAACGCTTTGAGGGTCAATACCAGATACACAGCAAAGCAGAAAAGTATTTTTGTGTCGACTTGTGAGTCTACTATTCGAAACAATTGCTGCGATCCCAATCCACGGAATGGTATTGTTCACATAATTAAAGCTGCAGGGTCGTGTCACAGGAACCAGGATGAATTCGCCCAGTTAAGAGACTGGACCACACTGGCTGCCCACTGTAACAAGGGGCCCAGTGGGCACATGTGGGCTGAGCAGAGGCGGGGGGGGGGGGGGGGGAGGAGGGGGGTGTGAGGCGCGTGCTAATGAAATGCTAACGGGCCGTGATGAGCCGTGGAGCTCGGCTGGCCTGCTGGCATCCCGCCACATCAACTGGAGTCACCCAGAGTTCAGCTGCCAAAGAACGAGACCCGAGAAACGAGGATGAGCTAAACTACGAAGAGCGGAGCGGGTCGAGTTTAGGCTCCTCCATCGCCCAGACATTGGGAAAAACTGTCAATTTACATCCGACAAGGAACCCTGTGTGATTCACAGCCAGTAATGAATGCTAAATAATCCGGTGAGATGTGTTAAAAAGATAAGTGTCTGATCCGTCACCTTCTGGGACAGATTTGAGTGTTATTTAACTATTTATTGATGGTGTACGCGCTCAGTGCAGTAGGAGTCTGGACACGGATAATACCTCATTACAATGCACGGAAGCCACTGCTGAACAGATTGTTAGCTCACATATTAAAAAAAAAAAATTTGGATTCCCGCCGTCCACATTGGAGAGAAAGCGGCGCACAGCAGCTGCACATGAGAGCAGACGTGCCAGCGTACAGAGGCTCGCTCTCGCCCCCCGAGATGAGTCACCGAGGCGCAGCAGGCGGAGGGGGGAGGGGCGACGGGCAATGGAAAGTAGCGGGGGGTTTGTGGGGGGGGGGGGGGGGGGGGGGGGGTTGCTATGACGACCCATCTATGTCAATTCCACTCTGCTGGCCTCCAGATTGAGAACGACCAACACAACCTCCCCGCATGATGTTTTCCCTTTGATCCGCACAGTCAGAGTGTGTGTGTGTGTGTGTGTGTGTGTGTGCGCTGTGAACTCACTGTGGCATGAGAGATGGTGAGCATGCCCCCCTTCACGGAGCACTGCCTCCTCTGCCACACCTTCCTCAGCCTGTGAAGAAGAGGAAGGGAGGGGAGGCACACGAGGTGAGGCCCGATGACGTCTTGCTTTCCGGCGGCCACTTTAATAACTCGAGTGCGGCACGAGTGTCGCTGTGCGGCGGTTTTTAAATGACCGGCGGCTTACCCGTCGCTCTTCTTCAGCAGGTAGCCTTTCTTCTCGCAGCCAAACTCCTTGTTTCCCTGCAGCTGGTGCATGCTGTAGCCCCCCTGCTTACTCTGCGAGTCCTGCGTGGACCCACACAGACCGACGTTTAACACACGGGGTGCAGTGAGAAGCAGTGCCGACGGCACGCAACGCTGACACAAAACACACAGACAAACGCCGCACGCTCATCCTCCAACACCAGCGCACGGGCTCACAACCAACGTGCTAACAGGAAGATGAAAACTGTGAACGCATGCTCCGAAGCCTGTAAAAGGCCAAACCACTCAACTGTCAAGCAGAACAGACTGATGCTCGGCATGCTCAACATGCACCTGCACTTACTCTTCTAGACTTGATTCCGGACAAGCAGAAGGCAGAAGAGGGGAGATAAAGAGGAGATAGAGGGGAGAGGTGTGAAAGATCCGGCTCAGGTGCAGGCGACGAGTGCGAAAAAGTGCGCCGCCCGCCCCCCGAAAACGGCAATCCCGTGTGCTGCGCTCTCTAAACGCTGTGCTTACCGTCGGGTGCCATTAGCGAGGGAAGCTACGGGAGGTGTTACGTTAAATGTGAATGTGTCGTGCAGAGGAAAGTCAAGGCGTGAAAACACGCTCGTTCCTAAGTGATAAAGTCGGTCAGCGAGTGGCTCTCCACTGAGCAGCCAGTGAGGCACAACACTGGTCAACCAGCAGAGCCTACCACACACTGGCTACCAGCATGGTACAGCACTGGGCACTCGCTCTGTGCTGCAGGAGGCGCCGTGGCGGGCGGAGCGAGAGGACGCGCGGGGCGAATGAGCGCGGGAGGCCGTCGGGTTCTCTAACGACGAAGGCTGGCGAGGACGACCGCGAGCTGCCTACCTCCTTCTGGTCCAGCTGGAGGGAGGACTTGATCAGGTCCCGCAGGGCGGTCAGCTGCTTCTTCTCCTCATCCTGAGTCTGTTTGATCTGAGGAGAACGAAGGCACCAATGAAACTCCGCCAGCTGCGTAAATATCAAGACTTCTCTGTTACGAAATACGTTGGCAGACTTCGCAATTTGGCTTTCTAGTCTCTCACTCAAGTGATGTTGTGGTGTGTTTTTTTTTTTTTTTCTTCCAGTTGCTGGATGACAAAGCGAAGGGTCACACAGAAGATCCACTCTGTCAGCTTTTTGTGAGCGTTTGAAGATCTTCTGTTTGACTTCCAGGCGTCTCCATCTCAGGATTTGTGAGGTTTTAAGTTTCCAAGAGATTTTGAACATGAAAGTTTTGGCAGATGTACCACTTTCCCCTCATACAATCACTGCGGCAGCATTATATTCTGATAAAACTGCTGATTCAGGGGAAAGAAGAGCAGTGCGTTCAGAGGCTGATCTTTTAAAAAAGTTTCCAATTCTACTGATCTCAACACAGAATAACTTTTTATTTCCAAAAACGTATTATAATGCCAACATCTAACTTTTACCCGGTAATGTATTTTAGGGCTCATGCAAATCATTTCATTGAAATCAGTAACTGTATTAAGTGTCCGACTTGGATGGCTAGCTACCTTCGCTAAGTGAGTTAAACAGCATCGAAGATGTTTTATCGCAAAGATAACAACCTTTTCTCCTTGTCTCACCCTCAGAAACGCCGGCCGAGACTGAAGTGTGCAACTTCTTTCTCGACCTTGAAAACAATCATTTGAGCTCAAGGTCTGCATACAGGCTCTTTTTCCCTCCCAGAGCCTTTATCGCATCTGGGTGAGTGGAACTAAAGCTAAGCATGTGTGCATAAACACAGAGCAGCCTTCAGCAGGAGAAGAAACAGGGAAGGTGTGCGTATTTACATTGTAGAGATCCGCCGCCAGCTTCTCGATGTACTGCTTCAGCTTATCTGCAGTCTTCAGGCCATCTTGGAAGAAACTGGCGGACGAGAGAACAGCACACGTGACTCTCACTGACATTAACATGCAACGGAATGAATATGAGAGACAAGTGGTCCGTTTTCCTGGAATTACTACTTGGCAAATGTCCGGCGCGCCTCTTTAGGCCACTATGAAGGTCACACGGAGAGAGGGGCGATTGGTGCAGTTTATGTTTAATGTATAGCTCGGCTGCTCCTGGCTCAGAAACGGCCAGCGCTTCCACCGAGGCGCTCGGCACATCCATCACGGACGTGTCGGCGCTGCACGCCTCCGTGCAAACCACCGCTAATTTATCCTCCACCTCTGTGAAAAACAAGCACGGAAGGCAGTTCGCTGGAGATCCCCCGTTAACTGCACGGCGACAGTGACTCAGCCGGTGTGCGTGCTGGAAAGCAGACGTGTCTGGAAGTGAGTGGAGCTGCAGAATAAACCGACCTCGTTAGCCGTCAACGAGAGAGGACTTCAGTTACTTTTAAGTTGTATTCATCATGTCTTCTTCTTTCTGACCGAGAGCCTTTAAACTCTTGTGCTTTTGTGCTTCGTATCCATCTCCACTGCAGCTTTTTCGGTCCGTCAATGCCCATGTTGGACTGATTTAAGGGGGGTGAGGGGGGGACATATTGTTTTGTCCCGGTGTTATGACAGGGCCTAGCAACGCTGAGAGAAAAATGTGTCATTCTGTCGCGGAGGGTTTGTGAGCCGCGCGGTTCTGGCACTGAGAGCGCCCACTTATTTACCCACCGAACCCCACAGCTGTCAGGACACATCTGCATGATGACCTGTGCATATTCATGAGGCCCGTACACACGGCCGTGCACCCAAAAGATCTGTGACTCATGCAGAGGATTAAAAAAAAAAGTGGGTCTGCAAAGAGGGAACGAGATGCTTTCTTTGCCGCGTTGTGGAAATGCATTTGTGATTTGGGTGGGATGAACACAGCGGGGGGGGGGGGGAGAGGACCTTCACACTCTCGGGTTCAGGGGGGGGATTAGGGGGGTACTTACTTGCACTGCGCGTGGTAATACTTAATCAGGTTCTGGAGCAGGGCCCCTCCTTTCTTGGTCTTGATCTCATTTACTTTGATGAGGTACTGCAAAACAAAGAGAGTTGCACAGCTCAGCCAGAAGTTAAAAGTCAGGGTGTGTTTTTTTTTTTCTTAGTTTAATGATGCGAGAGAGAGAAATGAACCACTTATCCTCATGATAACCACATGTGAGCGCTTGATTTAGGCTTTGATGTACGAGACTGCGTTGACACTGTGGGACCAGTCTGGGTGTCTCAAGAGTCAAAACAAACGAGCAGTCTCCCACCAAACAAAACGAATACCAGATAATCTTAATCTTAAAATAATCCCGCAGCGTGCCAATCCGCGGAGATTCACAAAAGACACGCGGCGAATTTAATCTGTGACAGAAAAGCTCAGAGAAGCCTCCGACACGCCAACGCGCCGCTTCGATCCGCTCCTCACATCACGTGCGCGGAGGCATGCGTGTGTTAACGCGCGCACAAGCGCATCCTGCGTGTGCGCGTACGCGTCGCCCCTTTGTCTGGCTGACGCAGCCCGCTGGATGGGAGATAATCCACATTTTGTGTCTGAGCCGCGTGTGGGTTCAGCGTTTCCGTGAGCGCGGCGGGACTCTTTTGTGCGAGCGAGGCGCGGGACGCAAAGCGGCCTGCTGAGCCCCGACTTTTCACTCTCCTTCACCGGCGGCTCGGGGTGAAAAGGGTGAGGAGAGTGAGAGCAGCCGGCAATCTGGTAATTGGGTACCGCGGAAGGGTGAGAGAGGGAGAGAAATGAGGTTAAGTGGGATGAACAGATTGTACCACTGACACACACACACACACACACACGCACACACACACACGCTGGTATTTCCATGATGACTGTCTGATCTGTGATGTCCTTCTTGGTATTGGTGGAGCATCTTATACGACCCAAAGGAAGAACACTCCTTAAAACGCAGGACAATCACATAGCTTTGTGGATTACGCATCACAAAACTAGGTCAGATTAAACTTGTTAGGCTGCAAAACGATTTAGAAGTCCGACAGCTGTTTGTTTTGTTATTAATTTGTCACAGATTTAGTCAAGAAATAAAGTAAAAAGAAAAAGCTGGAAACTATTTCTCAGCCATCTGACTTAAAAAATTTTTAAATGAAATCCATCCAGAACCTTCTTCACAGGTGAAAGCTGTGACCAGAGAATGTTTGGCATTGTTGACAAAACAAGTTGAGATGATGAGATGAGATCAGATGGTTGATTAAACTTGCGGTAATCATTTTAACTCACTTTCTGGAATATGGAATGAGGACCTGCTTATGCATGAAATATTGGTTTTATGGACTCAAACCAGCAGATTGGATAATGGTGGGATGATTTATGCAATAAAATCCCAAGTGCATATATATATTATATATATTGAATACATGAAATACTGGTGAAAATGTAATTGAATGGAGAGAAAAAAAAAGTCGGTGACCCAGAAAGTATTAGTAAGTAAGTATTAAAGAATGTTTCTGCCGTACAGAAGCAACAACAGAACCCTCTTAATGCTTTTTGTAGGCGATTTCTTCAAAACACACAGTCATCTAACCACCGTTTACAGTGAGGCTGGCTCAGGAAACCACAAAGGCCTTTTGTTCGACGCCCCGAGACCCCCGACAGGCACTGCTTCGACAACCCGCGCCGTCCTGTGAGGACCCAACAAATCGCCACCAGACACAAACCTGCCGAGCTGCGCGTTTGAGATCACATCTGGACTCGACGGCGCCGCTGAACGAGGAAGACGGCGCTGATTTTACGCGGGATCCGTCGTCAACTGGAGGCGGGGCTACAACAATGATGCTAAACCCGACCGGAGAATTGTGAACACGGGTGGAAAATGTGGGCACGGAAACACCCGCCCGAGTCGCCGAGGGACGATCAGCATTGCAGGGCACAAAAAAGTTTCACACTGAATAATTCACACAACTAACAGCAGTGGTTGGTCCATTATGTAATTTGAGTAAAGGACGCCGGCGGGATGAAACAGCGAGCGAGGCGTAGGCGTCACCGCCCACCAGTAGAGAGGCTTTTCTGGCAGAGCAGAGTGACTTTTTACAGTTTGTTCTGATCCTCTCGGGCACGTAAAGACCTCACATTTGATTTACACTTTATTCAAGCCGTCTTTCTTTAGTTTAGTTCTTTAAGTATTTGTCTTTGTGTGTTAATACTGAAGAAAAAAAATAACGGGTTTATAGGAACGGAGGAACATCTGAAAACACTCAAAAGTACGAGCTGCTCAAATATCGGACTTGTAATCATTAAGAGAAGGTTGTGCTGTATTTTCTAAATCACATCCACTGACATGGAATCATTGTAAAAAATACCTTGTTCATGATTTACTGCAGTAATCCCCGACATGCGAAGCTGCTCAAGAGCTTCTATAAATTATTCAAATCGTCCGAGAGAGAAAAAGTCACCTCAAGAAGAAAGTCTTCTCTAAAAGCAGCAGGTTATTGGGTTCATCAAGAGCTTTGGCAGCTTTGCGTCGCTACGAGTGTCGAAGAGGAAATGCGATGCAGGAAGGTCGGTTTTAAGTGACACTTTTCACACGTCTGAAAGGTTATCACACTGAAATCAATCTTGAGCATCCAATTCACATCTAGGAAGGAAAGAAAAAAACAGCCAACAACATCAACATAAACCCTAAGGTTTATGTTTTGTGTTTACAATGAGACGGGATCATGACAGCGGATATTTGGACAGCACGCAGCGGTGTACTGTGGGAAGTTAACCTCTGACCTCCGATGCTCGACGGCGACCAAAAAAGGTCCTGAACGACCTACCTCGCACATCTGGAGCTGGAAGAGACGCCTCTCCTTCTCCATCTCCTCGGCGATTTCCGCCCCGGTGATCTCGGTGCGGATCATCCCGTGCTGCTTGGCGTGCTCTCGCTTCTCCTTCTCGATCTTCGTGCTGGCGAAAGGGAGGAGGACAATTACTGACCGCTCCAACGCCACCTCATCAACAGCGTTTGACCGATCGTTGCGTGACCAGCGGGTCGATTATCAACTCACAACTTGGCCTCGTAGTCCTTCCACGCTTTGTCGAAGGGCTTCTTTATGTCCTGCAGAAACACACGGGGGAGCATCAGCAACTACGAAGAGGTCACCGGGGTAGAGGGGGGGGGGGGCTATTTGCAGAGTCAGAATGCACCAGAGTTCCATCAAATGCCCCCCAGGTCACGACCGTCGATGTTCGCGGATTATATTCACAGCGCCAGAGTCTCTCTGGTGTCTTCTCGCCTCACACTCATCACACGGAGGTTAATGGAGAGATGTGCTGAGGAGGCAAATATCCTCCCTGCGGCCGAGAGAGAGACAGACGATGTGCAGAAGAGGGGGAAAAAAAAACTGTCTTACCCCTTTCACGCCTTTCAAATCGCCCTTCAGCAGCGAGTCCAGAGTGAAGATCACATTGTGGCTGAGGCTCTGGAGCTGGAGGACGCACAGAGAACATGGCGGCGTGTTACAGCGGAGCGATCTCTGTGTAGCTGAAGCTTGATAACACGCACACATGATTGATCTACAGTGTTGAATTAAGTGACGTGTTCCGGCATCATGATGTGCACAAGTACTTCAGGTACTTTCCACATGGATCTCTCTGCTGCCTCCAGCTGCAAAGGGGTCGTATGCAGAGGCAGAAGTGCACGCCGGCCCATTGAAGAATTAGCAAAAGCTCGTTGCCAACAGCTCGGGTCACCTCAGTTCTGCTGAGCAGCTGCTATCGTTAAGATCAGCAAGGTCATCTACTACGCTACTAAGCATTTAAGTCCCTGTTGTTGTTGGCCGAGGCCACGCAGACACACGCGGCGGCGCTCGGGGGAAGTGAACTGCGCCTAATGGCCGGTAATGTGCTTCTTAAGTGCCCCGTCTTGCGTACGGCCGGCGTCAGAATCAATCCTGCACTTGGCCGGCCGGCGTCCCGGAAGCTCGCGCCGCTTCTTCTAGTAAACCAGACTCGAAAAAAAAAAAAAGGGAACAAGGCCAAGTTTGTCTATAACATCGATAAAGTCGATAACGCGGGCCGGGGCATCTAGGACAGGAACTAATTGTCAATTTCTCATTTGCAAGCCCACACCAGCGGGGGGGGGTGTGGGGGGGGGGGTCAATACGACACTCAAAATGGAAAAGAAATTTAGGAGCTAGGGGGGAAAAAAAAGGACAAACAGCAGATAGTTTCACTGCGACATGCAGGTAGCGCCAACAGGTGGGTGATTTAGGAAGCTTTTATGAACACACACACACACACACACACACACACACACACACACACACACACACAGTTGTTCCTAGTGGATCTCGATCTAATCTCGCTGTCAGCAACACAGGAAGAGAGAGGAAGCGCGAGCGAGCGAGGGGGGACTGGGGGCTCCTCTTAGAACAACAATCACTCACACAGCATTCAAACAGGACACATTATTCAACAGAAGCGTCGGGGGGGGGGGGGAGGGGGGGGGGGGGGGTCCACAGCCGGCTGATAAGAGCCTCGACGGGAAAACAAGAAAGGAGCAGGAAACCGCCGCAGTCAGCGCTACCGTCCCGCCGCGATGACGCGTCCCGCCGCGGCAGCGCGTCTCACGCAGTTCGCAAACTCCAACGTTACGTCTGTCCAATCGCTTTCACGACTCGACGACCTCTTCACCTCCTCCACTCTCCTGAAACCCCCCCTAATCCTAATCTCCACCTTAAACCCAAATCCTAAACCACTTACGGACCCGGGAAGAGGATTTGTCTGTGGCGCGTAGAACTCACCAGGTTCTTCAGCAGGGCGGACAGCTCCTTGGTGAGGGAGGAGAACTTGACGAAAGCCGTTCCCAGGTCCGGGTTGTCCCGGCTGATGAAGTTGCCGCCAAATTTGTCCAGCGCCTGAGCGTAGTTCTCCTCATTCTGGACGTGGTCTGCGTGGTCGGGGACAGAGAGGTCAGGTTATCGGCCCCCGGGGATTAGCGCGGTCAGCGCGCTCATGGTAATGGCTGGCGTAATATCAAGATGGGTACCGAAAACCTTCAAGAACCAAAAGCTGGCATTATATTTTGACAAAGGTGCCTTTGACTTGATCCCATCAGAGGATTTTCACATTCTTCAAACCTCCTGGTGAAGATGACTCAGAGCTTTAACATCTCCCGAGAATAAACCTGCTAATGTTGGAGGGTTGATTTTGCAAAAAGACTAAAAAAGGTTAAAGAAACAGCAGAGTGGAAAATGCTCATCTAAGATGTTCATATTAACACAGATGTGGTTCCCACAATGCAACGTTCTTCTCTTGCACATGTGATCCAATAACAAACACATGTGACCTGAACCCGTGATTTCTGATCCAGAACCAGCTGCTCCAGTTTAAACATTTTGACTGTAGTAAGTCATCTTCATGTCAACAGAACACCATGTGTGGGTCTCTGGGACGTTGAGACGCTGCAGGAGACGCCAGTCAAACAGCGGCACCCCATCTGTCCTTGTCGTTAAGTGGGGGCGGGGGCGGGGGGGCAGAGTGTGAGGCGGTGGTCACGTGACACGTGCAGCGTGCAAAGCGCTGCGGCCGCCGTGAACTCTCAAATGAAATGTGATCAGGGTTGCAGTTACTCTGAAGACAAAGGAGGTTATGTCCTCTGTAGTCCTTTACAGAAAGGAGTGAGTGGAGCTGGATTCCATTCTCATTCCTGTTTGTAGATCACAGTATTTCAGAGTTCAAAGCAAAGTAACCAGCTATTGTATAACTGGAGTAACAAGTCGACTAAAGGGTCATTTTAGTTGTTGTTGTGAAGAGTCTCTCATCCAGCGAGTAAAAAAAAAAGAATAAAATCTGAAACTGTCAATTTTCCAGGGAGGAGGCCCTCTGTCAAAAACACTGGGTGGAAAGTTACTGCGTCTCCGTGACAAACAAAACAAACTCAGGTGCTGCTCTCTGGGTCACCGAGCGCCATCTGTCCCGCGAAGGGCGGCGCTCCAAACAAAAGAAAATTCAATCCTCATCTTTTATTAAAGATATTTAAGAGAGCCGGGGCTCTCCTGGGGGAGGAGGAGGGAGAACAAAACCCACAATCAGCCGCGGCCCGTCCAGTCTCACCTTGTCCTGAGCTGTAGATGGCCTTCACAGATTTCTTCACCTTCTGCAGGGACGTTCGGTCCTGATCCAACGCCTGAGGAAAGAAGAGGAAGCGACGCCGTTAAAAACCCCCTTTTTAAAAAAAAAAACCTTTACCGGACACGTTCACGTGAAGAGACAGCCGACTCGAGGGATCAAAGGGCATAAGAACAATAACATTTGCATCGGCGATTCAAAGCGCGCATGCTGCGCTGAGCTGAGCTGATGCAGAGTGCTAACAATACAGCGCGTGACCCGAATGTGGCATGAATCCTCATTTCACTGCTGGCCGCTGGAGCAAAGCCTTCGTCCTCTCTAACAGGAAAAAGAAATAGTCGGGCTATTTATTCCCCTAGTTATTCGCAGTGAAAGATTTCAATGCTAGAAAAAGAAAGAAAAAACGCTGCCTCTGACTAATTGTCATTGGGCTTCATCCGTCTCACTTCCCTTGTACAGTTTAGAGATTAATGCATCCGAAGCACCAAGGAGTTAAAATAATGACCGATACAAACCGAATGAATGCACTTCAGAGATCACAACACATTGAAAAACGATGCATCTCTATTTTTAGAAAAAAAGCCTGCAAAGCCATTTGAGACAAAGCTCGTGTGACCTTTGAACTGGATTTACTGGTCACCCCTCCACACGCTTAGAAAAAACAGCTATGCACAGGGGAAATTCCTCATGTGCTCTTATTATTGCCGAGTATCGATTAGCATTTCATTTACTGCTGAAGAACAAGTGGACGCGAGCAACGCAAACTCAAACCTCAATTAGCCGTCCAGAGACATTATTATTCTGACAGTGCGATAATTACACATCCAGTTCATGTTAACCAGAGGGATTGTGACCATAACTCTGCCGCGTCTGCTCCGAATAGATGATAAACACCGGCAAAAACACCATCATGTCGAGGTCGGGCGGTTAAGAGCAGGAGCGCACACAGCAGAGCGCCAATTAAATGTCACAACATAATCAGGCCTGTCCTTGGCCGCCCCTGGACACTTTTAAATGCCTCTTCGCCAATTATGGGAGCGGTAGTTTGCCGCCGCAGGGCCCTTTTCTGCCGGGCCCTGGCCCTTTGATCCCCCCCCCCCCCCGGGCCCCGGGCCCCCCGGACCACGGGCACAGGGCACAAAAGCCTCCTCGTTAAGAGGCCCTGTGTCTGTCGGCTCCCCAGACAAAATGATGTGTGCGTTATAGCGCTAACACGCTTGCGCAGATCTGCTTTCTTATTTTTATTTAGTGAATATTTTATGCCGTCTGCTGTGCACCAAAAGACGGGAGGGGGGGGGGGCAGGTAATATGTGAGGAGAAAAACAGTAAATTGCTGGCTCGGCGCCAATTCCAAAGAAAAGGGGACAAACGGCCCCGTGGTTTTGGGGAAAGTGTCCCCTCTCGGCTTTCGGGGGAGGCGAGAGGTCACACTTTCGCGAACATTCTGTGAAACCTCTTTTTGCAAGATTCTTCCGAAACGCGCTTCTCCAAAAATAAATATGGTCACATGATTGTTGTTTCAGTGATCCATTTGACAGCTGGGGGAAAAAAATAGAATATCTTTGTTTTGGTCAACTATTTTTCTAACTGGTTGCAGCCCTAGTTTAGTATTTCATTGTCTGAAACGCCCTCAAAGTGTGACCCATGTGTGACCAATGGGTTAATGAGGCGGACTTCCTGGTTCCCAAAAAGCCACACAAACACAGTCATGCCCAGGGGGTCAAAAGCTCGGGGGGGGGGGGAATTGGCGGCGTGAGTGACTGGGCATGACCGACTGGAGGCCGTCTCAGCGTCACGCTTCCTGCCCCGGGGCCTTATCCTCGCTCAGCAGCCCCCCGCCGTTTCCCCTGCAGCCGTCCTTTGACAGGAAGCAGGAAGCGGCCGAGCTCGTCGGCGTCCCGCCCGGGGTCGGCGGCCCCCCCGTCTAATGACACCAACTGCTGGCCGCTGACAGCGGAGGAATTAAAAAGCACAACAACAACACGCCCCCCTCCCCCCCAAACTCGGCCCGCCGAGCCCCTCGTACTCGGCGTTTACGGCTGCGCGGTTACCAAGGCGATGGGCTCTGGCGTGCCTCACCCTCTATCTCCCCCCCTGCGTGAAGGCAGCTCTGACTAACCAGGGACCAACTGTGCCACTGTGGCAGCTCGGACTTCTCCCCCCCAGCGGAAATCAGACACCCCGAGTCCTCAGAATCACTAACATGCTAAAAATTCCCTCGAAAGAAGAAAACAGGAAGGGGGAGAATTAGCAGAGGGCTTCCCTGCAGACGGCACGCCGGGCCGAAAAACATCCGCAGGGGATTTTATTTTTAAAGGAAAGAGACATTTTCCTTGACAAATGTCATTTTCTGCTTCCTTTTTCACTAAAGTATTCTCCTGTCCTTTCCGGCTCATCATGACTGCAACTATTGCAACTATTGCAATGCAACTATTGTAAAAATGCCCCAGAGGAGACGCCAAACAAATGTTTGTGTGAATTAAGGCCAACTTGCTTCCACTCCTGTCCAGATGAAGAAGTGACCGCGGTCTCAGATCAGTGTGTCTGTGTGTGGAGAGCATGTGGCGTGACTCAAGCAGGAAGGGTGGGGAGCTGCTTTTTTGTTGGCAGGAAGCAAGAAGCACATCTCTCTCTCTTTGGGCCTGCAGCTCTCAAAGTGGGATAGGAAAAAACGAGAGGATGTAAAATTTCCAAAAGCAGCTGAGGTCAGCTGACCCTTTTCTCTCTCACACTCTCACACACACAAACACGGAGAGCGTGATCGATCAGAGGTGTGTCGAGGTGACCGATGTGATGCCACCGAAATAGACAATAAAATGAGAGGGATCCAGTGAGACTACGTCTTCTTGGGGGTCACCGAACATCGATTCAGCGTGACATTTTTCTGGAGAAGAGGGTTGAAAAGCAGATGTTTTCACCTCCTCGCACTGGAGCTGGGGGATCCCACTGGGGGATCAACGGCAATAATGAAGTAACCAATTGGCCCCATGCTGATGCATATTCTGTCCGATAGTACAAGACCATTAATGTCTAAACCAAATCTAATTCCAATTCATCCAAGAGCGGAATCAAAATGTCATTGTGTGAGCTATGCTAGTTAATGATGTCATCGTGTGAGCTGTGCTAGTTAATGATGTCATCGTGTGAGCTGTGCTAGTTAATGATGTCATCGTGTGAGCTGTGCTAGTTAATGATGTCATTGCTGGCTTGCGTGCTGGATCCCCACAGGTTTTTTTTAAATAACGCTGCCGAGATGAATCATATCAATGATAATTGTGTTACTTTTGACAAGCTGTATAGGACACCGACTGATGATACACCGAACTGAAGAAAATAAAACCCTGCTAAGTGAGTCGCTGGCAGTTTAAGCACGATAACTGCTCCAACTCAGTGGAATCTATCGCACGGGTCTCCGCCCGCTGATGCCATCGCCCGCTTAGAGGAGTCAATATGTCAGAGATTACTGCGGTCAGTCAGGCCATCAGAGCTGCGTGGGAGTCTGTGGAGAGGGGTGGGGGGGAGGGAGGCACATGGTCGGATGCAGCACAGGCGACGAGGACGCCTGCAACCCAACACGCTGGTGTGAGGCCGGCGATGAAAAAAAAAAAAAAAAATGCATGTCCAGCCGAGCACACGGCGGTGTTGCATTCACACCTCGTTTGACGACTTCCCTCCACTCGCCCACTTTCAGCCCACCACTTCTTTCCAGCGATGTGCAGGTTTCGTCACGGTCGCGGCCACACGCTGCTGCATTTCGACTGCGCTCGGCCCACATCGATGAAGCGGCGTTCTTGTGTCAGCGGCGTGTTTAGGAAGTCTAAATGGCAGGAAGTCCAAGACGGTGATTACAAAATATATATATATTTACAAACAGATGACTAAGCGTTCTGTTTGGTTCCTGAGAGATACGAAACCGAAAAACGCACAGTTTGGAGTCTGGGATGTATAAGAACACAAGTATAAGAAACAGATCTGTTGGCCACGGTTTTGATTTATCATTTGGTCCTCAAAATACCAAATAATGTCAAATATATTCAGTTAAAAATAGGAAACACGGCAGATTCCAACAGTTGAGAAGCTGCAAATAGAGAATGTTTAAATCGAGTTGAGTCACTGACAAATCATCAAAACGCCTGATACTGAACAACAACAGACAATTTATTATGTTTCCTGAACAAACAAATCAAGAACAGTGCTTTCGATACGAGACCCGCGGCCCTCGTCTTTCACTCGCGACCACAGTTCACTTAGTAGCTCTGCAGCTTTCACTCACACAACGAGAGCTTCCTCTGCAGATGCAGATGCTTTGGTTTCAAAGTTGCCGTAGTGGAACGACTTTCCATTCACACATTGAGAATATACCTTGCGTAGCTAGCGTAGCATGGACCTGCTGACTAGTTAATGATGCGCTTCGGACGGTTTATAAACAGAATGAATCGGTTATCTGAGAAAACAATAGAGGCATCAATTGCAGCTTGGCGCTAGTGTGTGGACCTTGAAGTGAGATGTTGGCGTGTGTTTTGTTGCAGTGTTGTCTTACTGTTAATAAGTAAACGCATGACAAACAATGAGAAAATCTCATTGTATCAACACAAAGTCGTCCCTAACAAAGCCACAGTTTACCAAGGGAAAACTTAACTAAACCACATGTTTATCTCTAATCTTCCACTCGTTGATCAGCCGCTCGCACTGTAAATCTCTAGGTGTGACGCCAAAGAATGTGCTGCCCTGATAAAAGCGCGCAATCAGAAGAAATACGCTTGCAGCCTCGGAGCAACGCCGCTGCACCGCCGCTCGGCCAAAAGCCGTCACGGCAGTCATTTTTCTGCAGAGAAGTCTCGGATTTCACACTTTGTGGGACTCTCGCCGGGTTAGAGACCAACCGATTCCCAAACCACAGGTGTGTGTTCAGATTATTCTGAGCCCGGATTTGTGTAGCTACATTGTGTATCGCTGCTGGCATGGCTCATCTATACCGTCCTGCGAGGAAATCAATAATGCTTCACTTTAATAAAAGACAGTGACCTGCTTAACGGAATAATCAAATGAATACTTAAT